GTCTAGAGTGATAAATTTTTCTATTAAGTTTGAAACATTGTAACAGAAATTTAGAAATTCAAAAGAAGAGTTAGAAGATGGAAATCTTTCAGAAAAACAAGAGGAGGTGGAAAAGTTCAAATTATCCCAGGGCAAGAGCTGTGCAGTAGGCTCTGAGAGCAACCAGCCCAGAGTGAAGGAGGAGGATGGCTTCTTGGAGAGCTGTCTCTACTTTGAAAAAGTGATAGAATACCTGATGTGTCTGAATGTACTGAGAGGAGAATTTGGGACAAATTACTTATATTTAGAATGCTAGATACTTAAGAAAGTTTGCATAAAAAGAAGAGGCAATGGCTCATTAAAAGAAATGTAATTATAGTATGCTAATTGGCTCAGCTACAAATCTCTACTGTCATAACCATATAAGTAATGAATAGTGATTTACCTAAACAGGGTGATAAAGCTATACTGAGGGATGAAAACACAAGAACTCACAGCCATTGAGTCAATTTGACTCACAGTGACCCCCCACTGAGTTTTTGCTACAGTAAATCTTCACAGAAGTTGACTGCCCCATCTTCTTTCCTTGACTGCCTGGTGGGTTTGAACCGCCAGCCTTCTGGTTTGCAGTCAGATGCCTTAGATACTGTGGCACTAGAGCTCCTTACATTGAGGATTAGAGGATGCAAAAATAACACGTTTAGGGTATAAATGTGTAAATACAGATTTTATTTCCTATAGCAAGAAATAACTGGTCACAATAGGGGGTCCTGGCTGGAATGGGAGAAATAAGTGGACAAAAACTCAAAATCATTAAGACAGACCAGGCTTACTGGTCTGATGGAGACAGATGGAAATCTCTAGACTATGACCCTTAGACATGCTTCAAGCTGGGAAGTGAACTCATCCCTGTGGCTCAACCTACAGCCAAATGAGACAGGGCTATAAGATGAACAGAAGTACCAGGGAGGTACACACTCCTTAGAGTAATCAACCATATGAGATCAGAAGAGCAGCATTTGCCCAGGAACAAAGCTAAGACTTCTTAGTCTGGAAGGGATAGGAAAGAAAGACAAAGGCAAATGGTAAACACAGGAGAAGTGGGAAGAGTGCTGTTACATTGGTTACATTGTAGGGATTAAAATGAATGTCACAAAACAAAATGTATATGTATTGTTGAGGGGAAAACAAATTTGCCTGTTAACTTTCACCTGAATCACAATTTAAAAAAAAAATAGGGGAAACTGGGTACAGGGTATATGAAAATTTTCTATAGTATCTTTGTAATTTTCCTGAACATATAAAATTATTCCAAAATAAAGTTTATTTAAAAATAAAGAAATAATAGCACAAACTGAAAAAGCAGTGTAAGCATTTTATTTAAAAATATGAGATATACCAGAAGAGAAAGCTGAAATATAAGAAAAGGTTGTCTCTGTGAAGTAGAAATTGAGTGGGGGAGGGTTGGGGTAGAGTTTGCTGTTTTTCATTATAAGCTTGGTGACACTATAGATTTTAAAAAATGTATTGATAAAAATAAAAATTTTTAATGTATTTCATCTTTGAAAATTTTAGTTGTTAGGAGGAACTGTTTTCATATGTATTATAAAACACTGGGAAATAAATGCTAGGTTAACACCCCTCTGAAGGAAACTGAAAATCCTTACTGCAGTATGAATCTTGTGTTTGTTGTTTAAGGGCTCCACTAACTTGTCAGTAGGAGTGGGAGCAGCTCCGGGAGCCGGGAGATAATATTCTGGCCCATATTTGTTATTAGGTTAGGCACTAGCAAGTGACAATAGTGGCGTGATTCCCTTATGTAGCTTCATATGCAGCAGAAGCCAGATCTCACTACTGGGCATGAGGAGAGGAAGCATCCTAGCAGGGTACGCATGGTAAATGACAGCACTCATAGGAGACACTTCCAAAGTACGCTCAGAAATACTTCAGGATTTGTGTGTTTGTGTGTGAGTCCTGCCATAACCAGTGGAGCCATAATCCAGGGAAATAGACAGTCATGCTGTGCATGACTCCATTTATACTCCTGGGCTGGTATGGCCTGGGGAAGTGCTGGGTAGATCAGAAAACATGCCGTAGAGGCTGAGAAAGGGGTGTGCAGAGAGCTGTCTGATCACTAGAAGAGTGACAGGATAAGGGGTGAGACAGACTAGAAATGGCAAAGCCTTGATCCTTGTCATCCATTTGTCCCCAATACATAAATTGCCACTTTTGCTTCCTAACCTTCTGACTTCAACACTTAAATTTAGAGAATTATCTTCTCTTGACCATCCCCCATCAGAGAATTTTTCAGCCCTCAAAGAAGTGAGAGTGCCCAGACTGGGTGGGAGGGTACACGTGAGCCTGTGTTACTCCTTAAAAAGGAATAGAATAGAGAAACCTAGTTACAGGGACACAAGGAAGGGAGGAGGAGAAGGTACTAAGGGGCCAATCCTTCCTGTAAACAGAACAACTCCCATGTTACCTGAAGAGGTCTAAGAAGACTTTAGGTCAGAAATCTCCCCTCTCCTGCCTAGTATCTTGCCCAGGTCCCACCATCTGCACTTCTCCTTTGGGCATCTCAGCATTGCCCTCTCATGGCCAGAAAGGTAGCTGATACTTTTGACCCACCACAGAAGCCATTCCCATTCCTTTTCTCTGGTCTCCACATTTATTGATTTTAAATCTGTCCCAGTCTCTGTGGGTACAAAAATATGACAAGGTCCCTGTTCTCAAAGAAGGGTGGAGGTGGGAAGTATAAAGGCAGATGTGAAGATACAATTTTGCCACAAGCGGTAAGTTAGGAAAGAAATCTGCACAAACACAGAAGGGAGTGTACTAAAGTCAGGGAAGGCCTTCTGACTTAGAAGATCCCTACCAAAAGGAAGAGTTATGTAGCTGTAAGTAGTGCAGAATAAGAACTGACCCCTCTCCTTTTACTGAGTCCCCTAAAATTACACTCACTTGTTGGCAGACATATACCTCCCTTCGGCTCTAGCTGTGCCAGTTCCTCTGTCACCCTTATCCTAACCCTGAACTCCATCCATGCATAGTCCTCCCACGGCAGCCACATTCTGTATTCTAGAATGGTGCTGCCTAATACAAACATTCTAGTAGCCACACCTAAAAAGTAAAAAGAAACAAGTGATTATTTTGATATTTTATTTAACCCAGTATCCCCAAAATATCTTCTCAACCTTAATCAATTATTAGACAATTGAGATATTCTGCATGTTTGTTTTTTTTCGTACTAAGTCTTTGAAATCCAATGTATATTTTATCCATACAGGGCATCTCAATTCAGGCTAGCCACATTCAAGTGCTCAGTTGCCACATGTGGCTGGTGGCTACCATAATGGATAGTACAGGCTAAGTGTATTTGGTGTTTCTCTATTAAACATATGAGGTCTATCTGACTGGGTCATTACCACATATTTCCTCTAAACCTCTGTACTCCCAGTCAAAGCCCTGGGAACAATTTTGAAGAAGGAAGAGAAATCTTACGTGATTTCAGCCAATAAGTGAGCACTCCTTTCAGATGCCAAACCTAGAAATTAACCCTAAACTAATCCCAATAAGTGAGCACTCCTTTCAGATGCCAAACCTAGAAATTAACCCTAAACTAATCCCAAATTTGCTACTGAATCAGCTTTTAGCAATTACAGATCCAGTGCCTCACAATCTGACAGACACATTTGACCCCGGATGTCTCCAGATTGTCTCTGGCCAGCAGAACACCCACTACAAAAGAATGATAAATCACTAATGTTTCAGCATATTCACAGAGCAGCCTGGAAGGGTCCCAAAGAGGTCTTCTAGCTCTGCCACTCTGGTTCTGGTTGGGGCGGGGCACCACTTGCCATGTAGGACTGAAAGGAGCTAAATTATTTGGTGCAGTAAGAAACACCTTGTATTCTGGCATCAACAAAAATCACATGAGAGAACATTATTGAGAAAAATTTGTCCCTTAATTAAAACATTTCTACAGACTAGGTAAAGACCACCTTTAGAATTTGTTTAAAGGCAGAAAAACGAGAGTATTCCATGGAAGGAGAACTGCAAACCCATAGATGGAATTCAATCCCTTCATACTACTGCCAGGGACCAGAGAGGGGAAGTTTTGTTTGTTCAGGGTCATTCAGCAACTCCACAGTGGTTGTGAAGAGCCCTGCATCTTTCCACTACTTGCAGCGCCTCCACTAACTGAAAAATATTTCAGTGGGCGATATTGTGTCACCCTGTACCGCCCCCGTTAGCGTCCCCCCAACCTCGACTTAGGAGCCAGCCGCCCTAAACAAGCACTGCCTCTCCGGGGCGTAGCACCAAGATTCCCCACCTCCTGGAAGCTTTGGCGAAGCTAGGGCGGTTCTTTTGCCAGCTCCACACCTTCCGGAGCCTGGCCTGGCCTAGCCTGCTGCTGTAGCCCAGTTCCTGCATCATCTCCCACCAAGCGGCGGAAGATCACAACCGCGAGCGCAGCTCCCAGAGACTGTTAGAAACTCTGAGGGGAGCCGTGTCCAGAAGGCGCCTGGGCTGCAGGTTCGTGCCGAATGCCCCGGAGACTACCCCCGACACCCTGACTGGGGGTGTGCTTCGTTGAAGAGATGCCTCGGCCAGTCCAGGCTCGTCTCCACTCCTCGCACGCGCCCTGCCTGCGCCGGCCGGGAAAGGCCACCTTCCCAGCAATTACTGGGGCTTGAGCTCACCCAGCTCTAGAGCCTGGCAACTGCCTCAGCTCCGCACGGATCGCTGGAGCACTTTCCAGCACACTGGCCGCTCCACAAACTCCCGTCGCTTCTGCGGTGGGAAAAGATAACCAAGACCCTCAAAATTCTCCTGGGCCGAGGCGGACACCCCAGAGAAACCCCCTTCAACTCCAGGGCCCAAGCGTAGGCCCTGCCAGGCGCCCGGACCGCGCAGCCTCCGGTCCCTTAGCACCAGGAACGGTTTCCGGGGCGGATGCTTTTTGCAGCTGACCCGGAGCAGCCCATGACGCGAAGGCCTAGACGGAAGTGCGGGCGGAGGTGCCTGAGCCCGAGCCCGAGCCGGGAGCTGGTCTCGGGGGCTCTGGCCTGTGAGGACGGCTAGGACTGCTCACGATGGCGATCTTGTGGGGAGGCCTCTTTCGCATTGGCTCTATGCTCGGTCTGTCCTGCCTGGCGTTCTTCGTTCTACTCCTCGTGCAGCTGTCAGACGCGGCCAAGGTGAGTCCCGCCCCGCCTTAGTTCCTGACAGCAGCTTCCTCTTTACCTTCGGTCTTCCATCATCCTGCTCCTCTCCCCATAACTCTCCCAGCGCTGACAGCCCGGCTTGTAGCTACATAGCCCTGGTGTACCCCAACCCCTTACCCTTCCGACTGCCTAAAAGCACCACTCTCGCCCACCAGCCCTGACAGTTTGCAGTCACCACCCCCGCCCCAGCCTTGAAAATACTCTCTTCTCTGGCGCCCTGATAATCTCTCTCTCTCTCTCTCTCTCTCTCTCTCTCTCTCTCTCTCTCACACACACACACCATCTCTGACAGTACCCCATGGCCTGGACAGCAACTCCTCCACTTCATTGACATTTCCCATTCCAGCCCCTACAGCACCCACTCTACATCCTCTCCGACTCTGAGAGCAACTGGCATTCTACCCTTAATCTCTGACAGCCTACCTACCTTCCTCCAGATTCCTGGGCCCCCCAGATCCCTATCCAAAATGATTGGAAGCCTCATCTCACGGAGGTCTTCTTTAGAAGCTGACTTTCATGTCAACTCAACCCTAAACAGATTTCCTTCCCATTGTAGGAACTTGCCCCTACTGGCTGCTTTCCCTTCTAAAAGGACCTACTGAGTATCTCTGGCCTTACTTCACTCCTTCCAGGACCTCCTGGGCCCTTGCTTGTCTTCTTTCTTCCCAATAATTTACTGGGCAAGTGAGGAACCAAACTGCAGGAGAGGTGAGGTTATGGCCTCTCTTCATTCCATTTCTTGTTCCTTCTAGTCCTCTCACGCAGCTCTCTGGCTCCCTTGGTGCCCCTAACCACCAGATCTGATCTGGCCCCATACACATTTGTGCTTTCTCCTTGTTGTGTAAGAATTTAATCTTAGAAAATTAATAGAGAGATACTCAGGTTTATCATGCATAAACTCATTTAATTTATTGCAAGGTAGTCATGGCAAGACGTGCAAGTAAGACCTCATCAGATTAATTTAGAACCAGGTATCAGAATGAACAATCACAATGTTGTTCAATGGTTAGTGTCCTACTCCTTAGACTTCGGGCTTTTACCTTTAAGGAGAGGTCTTGGGAGGAAGGTTTGACTACTGCTCAAACTCTGTAGAGGTTCCTCTAGCTAGGATCTGAGGTTGGCAGCAGTGGGCAGGCTCCCATCAGGCTCTTGTTTTTTGCCTCTCCCTTCTCCCAGTGAGTGAGCAGAAATTCAGGGTTTATATGTGACATTCTCACCTAGGCCTCCACACAGTAAGGGCCAATGTGAGTCAAAGAGTAGTATTTTATATCATTTCTTCAAGGTTAGAGATTAGGGAGGTTGTTTACAAAGATTAATTATACTATGTCTTTTATTACATATATATTTATAACATATCAGATCAAAGTCAACTTATAAGTTGTTTACCACATTGTTTACATGCATCTATGTCTAAGTTCAGATATTTTAAGATAACTTTCTAGTGCTTTGTAGTTAGAGAGCCTCACAAATGTATGCACATTTCTACTTCTAAATTCATATTTTGAGTGCTTATAGATATATGTATTTTGAAAGCACAGTAGTGACTTACACCTTATGGAACTTGGGATCATTACAGAAACATACAGAACATTCTTTAATGACTAGCTTGTTATTACGAAAAAAACAATAAATCACATTAATGTGATTTACCATTGTGATGCTAAAACAGTGCATTTGCTTTAAAACAAATAGACGCTTTAATCAATAATATATTTGAATATCAGTGTTGGGAAACACAGGCTACAGGCAGGCAGATATTTTTGATCAGGCCTTTCCTACAATGCTAACATCCTTTGCACATCTTATGTCATCCCTTTATTCCGTGAATTGTAATTATGTATTTTTTTAGTCTCCTTCATGAGGGTGTGTCCTAATTAAGGGCAGAAACCATGTTTTACCCTTAAGGGAAGACACACGGTATGGCACAGAGCGAATGCTTACTAAGTGGTTGCTAAATGAATTGTCAACAGCTTTGCTAGACATACCACTGTGTGTAGGAGCAGTGGACCTGGTCCTTTGGGGACTAATGTGGCACTGACTTCTCAGATTCCTCTCTGTCGGGGAAGCATCTCCCATACCCTCCATTACAGACGTTTAATCACCTCTTCCTCCATCTCTTGAAACTTGCTTTGTCGATAGTTGTCCTCCTCCCTGTCTGTTATGGATTGAATAACCAAAAACAAAACAAAACCCACTGCCATCAAGTTGATTCCAGCTCATAGCAACCCCCATTGGGTTTCCAAGGCTGTAAATATTTAAGGAAGTAGATTGCCTCATCTTCCTTTGCAGAAGCAGCTGGTGGGTTTGGGCCACCAACCTTCTGATTAGCAACAAAATGCTTTACCCACTATGCCATCAGAGCTCCTCATGGATTGAATACCAAAAAAATCAAACTCATTGCTGTCGAGTTGATTCGACTCATAGCATCCCCTCCTTGGGTTTCTCAGGTGGTATCTCTACGGAAGTAGATTGCCCAATTTTTTTTCCTTCTGAGGAGTGGCTGGTGGGTTTGAACTGCCAGCCTTCTGGTTAGCAGTCAAATGCCTTAGGCACTACACCACCAGAGCTCCCTGGATTGAATAAACCCACTGCCGTCAAGTTGGACCTGACTCAATAGCGACCCCTCCTTGGGTTTCCGAGGCAGTATTTCTACAGAAGTAGATTGCCCAACCTTCCTTCCGAGGAGTGGCTGGTGGGTTTGAGTCGCCAGCCTTCTGGTTAATAGTCAAGTATCCCTCAAAAATATGTGTAGTAAATCTTAACCCCTACAGCTGTGGATATACTATCATCTGGGAATAGGGGTTGCTTTGATATGTTAATGAGGCTGTATCAGTGAGAGTGTGTCTTAAACCAATCACTTCTGAGATATGAAAGAACAAATTAGGCATGGAAGCAAGGAAACGAGATAGGGAAGTGTCCGAGAAACAGAAACTGAAAAGAGACAAGGACCTCTTCCCAGAACCAACAGAGAGAGAAAGCCTTCCCTGAGAGCTGGTGCCTGAATTCAGTCTTCTAGCTTCTTAACTGTGAAAAAGTAAATTTTTGTTTGTTAAAGCCACCAACTTGCTATATTTCTGTTATAGCAGCAGTAAGAATCTAAGACAGTCTATCAAGGATTTCAAGCAAAATTTGCTGGAAAGGATAAAACATACTGGTCTTAGCTAGAATCAAGCTCCTTCCCTTATATACTTCCTTTCTAGTTATAGCTGGGTACCTCTAAATATCATCTAAGTATCATCTGAGTTCAACTTTCAGCCGAACAGTAGACAGGCCTATAAAGTGAGTAACTTGGGGAGGAATGAACTCCCCAGTGCCATCAACTGTATGAGACCAAAAGGGCAGCATTTACTCAAAAACAAAGATCAGAAGGCAGGAAGGGACACGAAACAAACTGGGAAGCCAAGGAGGAAAAGGGAAGTGTGCTGCTAAATTGAGGGGGTTGCACCAATGTGACAAAACAAAATGTGTTTAAATTGTTGAATGGAAAACGAATATGCTCTGTGAACTTTCACCCAAACTACAGTTTAAGAGTTTTGCCTGGACATATATATGAATATATGTAAAAGCATACAAATGTTAACATTATATACAATAAAATTTAAGAAAAGACAGTCCTCTATTTTCTAGGAAATGCTTTCTATTAATAAAAGTCATACTTAAGTAAAAAAAAAAAAAAAACATCATCCCTTATAGAATGCTGACCTAACCCCTTTTGTCCATTTCAGTGCTCTTCTAAGGAAAGATGGTGGGTAGAAGAATTTTCACTTGTGAATTGTGAATAATTTTTAGTTTGGTTATTCCCCATATCTTTGTAATCAATATTCTTATTTACAGATCTGTTCACTGTGTATTATTCTATTGGCAGATACATGGTGATAGAGTTAAACAATTGATTGTCACCAAAATGGTTAGTAAGTCACAGATCATGTATTAGGTATTTTTACTTAATATGTAATGATTCATATTATCATTACCATAAAAGAACTTACAGCTTTTTAAAACTTCTATCTCTCAAAGTTATTTAAAGTTTTAATGGAATGATTTTAGAATATTTGGCAGGGGATGCTTATCAAAGTGTATATGGTGCAGTTTTTAAAAATATTGATAAACTGTCAACACGTTATACTAAGTTTCCGTTTTGGTTACAGAATTTCGAGGATGTCCGGTGTAAATGTATTTGTCCTCCTTATAAAGATAATTCTGGGCATATTTATAATAAGAATATATCCCAGAAAGATTGGTAAGTATTTTAGTTTCTTGAATTACCTGTCAAACTTCTTTCCATGGTTGTTACCATTGGCCTAGAATTTTCATCCAATGTATAGAGTATTTAATAAGAATTAAAAAAGTGTCAAATTCTGTTTACATTTGAAAAAGTTACTCTTGTATTGCATAACATCAACCTACAGGAATATATCCCAAGTGCTAGGCCTCAGGTAGGGGAATTTCATATGGGGGTGGGGCTGAGTTAGTGGCACCTAAACTACCCATAGCCACCTTCTTGTGTGTCCTCCCTACCTCCAATTTTGGGTCAGGAACCTTTCTCCCTTTTGCTTTTCAGTGGAAGAGAAACAAGCCTCATTTGTCTCAATTATCCTTTTACAGCTTTGTAGGTTTGATCACATATTTCCAAGTATGGGAATATATGTGTGTGGTAGTTAAGGTTGTGTGTCAGTGTGGCTTGACTATCATTTTGAGTGGCTCAACAGCTGGATGTAGTTATTCTCCATGATGAGATTGGACGTTGTGTAATCACCTCCGTGGTGGAATCTGCTGTGAGCAGTTAATCAATTGAAGGCTAGTTGCCTTCTGTGTGTGGCTTGCTTCCACTTTATATAGAAAGGGTCCTGCATTTGGTGCCATTTTTATCTCCAGTTCCTAGAGTTGAACTAGTGGTCTGCCATGGTGCCTGCTGATCTTGGGATTATGCCGTTTTACCTATTGATCTTGGTTTCTCAGCCTCAGCAGCCAGCAGCTGTGTGAGTTAGGAGAAGCGGCTAGCTCCAGTGGGCCTGAAACAGGAGGCAGAGCTAAAGCCCAAGGTCAAGGGGCCTTCACTCAGCCCCTAGAGCCAGCACTCTGAATTCGAACTTCAAGCTTCCTAAACTATAAAAGAATAAATTCCTGCTTGTTCAAGCCATCCACTTGTGGTATTTCTGTTATGGAACTAGAGAACTAAGATAGGAGATTATCTTTAAAAGAGCCAGAGGCTTAGGAAGGAATGGGAATGAGCCATGTTTCCCAGTAGGTGTGCCATGAATAGGTTATATGTATGTCAGGACATTGATCCGTTCAGTCTTTGGGGCAATAAGGCAGGCCTGTGGTAACTAGGATCCTGACTGGCTAGCTACCAGCAGCCTTCTCTGTTTACCCCAGGGACCTTATAGATGTTAGCTTTTCCTACATGTGCAGTGAAACCTTTGGGAAGCAGTTGTTTTGGAGTAGGATGAATGTGCTGCTTCCTGTAGAATTGGGATGTTCTATGATTTGTAACCACAGTGGAATACTGCCAACGAGGCATATGAGGAAAATAGCTCCAAATACAAGGTACTGTCACATGTACTTGATTTCACAGCTGTGAAAACACAGTTTGAAAGCTTGGTTAAATTCATTGAGCAGAGATATTCCAAGCTGACTTTGAAAACTAATTGGAAGTCTTTGGGCATATTTATTTTCTCCAATGTTCTTCCCATGCTAGACATAGGTTCAGGCTGATACTTGTTAAGTGTATTCTTGAGAACTTCTTATAAATTTCTTTGTTCCACTTTAAATTGTTTACAATTTGGCTATATTCTTACAGGTTTTATATCAGTGAGTCACTTTATATTGTACAAGAAAGCTCAAATAAATCTTTATTTCTATACATTTTTCAAATGTATTGCACATTTACTATCAGTTTATTGTCAGTAATAGAATGTGATGGTATTCTTTGAATGCCAAATGAACCCATAATATAAGTGTTTAGCAGTGATCTTTTTATTATGCCAGACTCAAGCAGAATCATATGTCACTCATCCTTGATTATTGGTCAAAATAAGGGAACTTTGAAAATGAACAGTTGAAAGCAAGGCTTCCTTCAGGTTTTTCCACCCTTCTTCACTTACTTCCTACAGCTCAACCTTTTAATGGGGAGAGGTTCCCAATTGGCATTTAAGGTTTTTAACTGCCTTTAGGATAGGCAAGTTATGATTACCCAGGATGTTATAGCTTTATGAGGCCTCCAGTATCTGTGAAGATATATTTTTACCTTCTGTTTCCTAGGCCTCTCATTTGGTCAAGTTGCTAACTTTAATTCCTCATTGACTTATGCTAGCTGACTTAAAAATTTGAGTTCTCTGATTTTGTTTGGGGTGTGGCCTAACCCTTTCCCGACCCCCAAGAAACTCACTGCCATCAAGTCGATTCCAACTCATAGCGACTCCCATTGGGTTTCTGAGGCAGTAAATCTTTACAGGAGTAGATTGCCAAGTCTTTGCTTCTGCGGAGTGGCTGATGGGTTTGAACCACCAACCTTTTGGTTAGCAGTCAGATGCACTATAATACCAAAGCTCCTTTCCATTGGGACATACATACCACTGCCGAGAATTTTCAATTGTAGAACATCCTGACACCTAGTGGGCACCTGTATAACTGCATGAATCTAGACAAACAGGTCTCATTTCACCATTTGGTCACCAGTGCCCACTTGGGATATATATGTCCTACATAATTGTATCAGAATCCATATTACCTCAAAAAAAAAAAAAAGTTTCCCCTTGATTTCAGTATGGTTTCCATTACTAAAAACACATGGTATCAACAAAAACTTGAAAGCCGAAAATAATTTGGTCATGAAAAAGTTAACGCTAATAATTTCCTCCTTTTGGCACTAGGGGGAGATATTGTCCAGTTGCTAAAGTGGTTGAGCTCTGTTTCTAGGGTGTGTTTGTATTGACTGGTCAACCAGAACCATGTTCTTCCAACAGTATCTCTGCCTGCACAACTTTTACAAGACAGTCAGCATCTCTTTGTTACTTAACTATATTTGTTTTCTTAAAGAAACACTCAATATTTACTCAGCACTTAGATTCTAAAGTAGTTCTTAGGTATTGTGACTGTTGGAGGCTTCTGAAGCTGAAATAGGAAACTAAATAGAAGATAAACCTCAATTTCCTGAGGTTCCGAGAGATAGGTTGGGACTGACCAAGGAGGCAGAAGCCCTGGATTCTAGTCCTTTTCAACCACTAATTTATTCTGTGACCTTGGGTAGGTGACCCCTCTGTGAGTATTGGGCTGGATGACCTCTGATTCTGAAGTAGCCCCTGTAATGGGATTTTGTTTCCTTTCCCCATATTATGCTTACATCCAGCTGGGTACAGGCCTGGTCTTTTCTGTTTGGAATAGATAGCATATAATTCTGTGATAGAGTTGTGAGACCTTACCCTTAACTGAAATTCTACCAGTGGATCTATTTTTCCCATTATTTTCTTTGTTAAAATTCAGTTATGTGGTAAGGATAACTAATTGAGCTTTTATTTTTCACACCATTTTGGGTTTTCTTTCTAACGCCACAGCTCTGAGGGAATAAACATAAAGTACATTCTGATAGGGCAAAGGGACACACCATTTTGGGTTTTCTTTCTAACACCACAGCTCTGAGGGAATAAACATAAAAAAGTACATTCTGATAGGGCAAAGGGAATGAATCAGCCTAGAGCACTGGGTGCTGCCAAGAAGGATGGGTGGGATGAGGCAGGATGCTATAGTAGAGTTCTTGAGGCAGCCAGAAATGCCTAAGCAAGAGATACCAATAGGGAGAAGAACTGCTCAGCAACTGACTGAAGGACATTAAAACTTTACCTCCTTGAAAACATTATGTGTGGCTAGATTGCCTCCGTGAACAGCTGCTTCCTTTGCCAGGAGGCCACAAAAACTAGTTGGTGTCTAACTACCATTACTGAACATTTTGATAAAAGAGTCTGTAGAAAAGTCCTGATCAAAAGGCATCCAGACTTTTTTGAGCCATTGAAGCTAGATGAACCCCCAAAACTATTGCCCTGAGATAATCTTTAAACCTTAAACCAAAAATATCCCCTGGTGTCTTCCTAAAGGCAAGCAATAATTTAGCTTCACTAGTAAAGAATGTCTGCCTTGAGCATTTGCTCTTTTAAGAACTGTCTTTCTGAGATCAGCGTGACAACAGCAACTTGAAAAATTAAATAGGAACCTTACTTAATGTTAACCTTAGAGAGGAATGAGTTAATGCTAATGGGGGAGGAACAACTCAGCAAAGGTGAGAATGGTGTATGGCTCAAAGAATGTAATCAGAATATCACTGAGTTGTACATGTCCAAACTGTTGAATTGGTATATGTTTTGTTGAGTATATTCTCAACAACAACAAAAAGAACTATGTATATGGGATCAAATAGACAACAGCAACTCAAAAGCTAAGATAGGAAGCTTAGGGGGCAGTGAGTGTATGTTAATGAGGGAGGAACAGTTCAGAGACAAGGATGAGAATGGCTGCACATCCTGAAAAAGGTAATCAGTGTCACTGAATTGTACATGTAGCAGCTGTTGAGTTGGAATGTGTTTTTGCTGCTTTTATTTTCAATAGCAACAACAAAACTAAAATAAATTATTGGAAAAAACTTTGCCTCCTTTAATGTTATATATGACTCCAATTCATGGCGTGTGAAACCTCTAACCAATCGGTCAGCAGCCAGGCCTATTAATTGTTTGTACCATCCAGGAACTCCAAATTACTAAGTAGTAAACTCTTAATAGCTGAGGAAAGAAATAATACATTTCCTTTGTTGTTGTTGTTGTACATTTCCTAGAATTTATAAATTACTGGGAAAATATATTTTTGATAGCATTATTTTCTTTGTAAGCTATTTATAAGTAGTCTAGCAAATGGAATGATAGAGGAATAAACAAAAACTATCCAACAATAAGAAAAGCCTTTTATTACATTTTATATACTTCTTTACAGCAATCTCTTTTCATTTTAAAATATTTTTGTTGTGCTAATGCTACTTCTCCATGCTTTTTCAGTAGGCTTTTGCTCATTAAGAAAAGTAGTTGTTTCTTACTATAGCTTTGATTGTTCAGTTTTTAGAGTTTCAGAATTACCATACTGTAATCTAGATAAGTCATAAGTCATTCATAGTCTCCCACTTTGGCACTATGAATGGGGTTAGTTAATTCACAAAGAGTAAACTCATATTTGAACACTGCCCCAGATCACTTTAAAACATTTAAAGCAGTTTTGCTTGGCAACTGACAAGTCTGAACATGACTAATCTAAGTTTTTCTACCCCTTTTGTGATTTTTCAGGTGTATTTAACTGTTAAGAGTAGCACCTTTGAAAGAAATGACTACTACACATGTATCTGTATGGTTTCCTAAACTTTTAAATCTTATCCAAGTATTAGGAGAGGAAATTATTTTACTTTACCTTATTGATTGTTCCTTATATTCTTTCATTGGGTAAATCCTATTATTATTCTGGATTTCAGGAAAGTCTTGATAAGTGCAAGTAGAACATCCTTTCAGGCTTAAGTAATATTTTGCCTTGTTTTTGTAGCGATTGCCTTCATGTTGTGGACCCCATGCCTGTGCGGGGGCCTGATGTAGAAGCATACTGTCTGCGCTGTGAATGCAAATATGAAGAAAGAAGCTCTGTTACCATCAAGGTAAAAAAAAAAAATCTATCTTTCTGCTTCTGGAGCAGTTAATGGTGGTCTCGAAACAAGACAGGAAATCAGTGGCATCTTGATTCTATTTTAATTAAGTAAACTACTGCCCTTCCCTTTTCCTGCTAGCCCCTTCCCCTGCTCCAGAAGAAGAAGTAGGCCTGCTCTCTGCTTCCCTCGTTTGAGATGCTCTGTAGATATATTAGATAGGTACATAGGTGTGTGAAATGGCGCAAAAATGACCTGTGTGTAATTAGCCTATTCCAGAAAGATAGCCTAGTTTTTCTGTGGACTAGTAAGAGAACAGTATGATTAAGCCCTCCTTTCCCTGCTCTTTCAAGCCTTCCAAAAATGTGTGTTTGTGTGTGTAAAATTCTACCACTGGTCTCAGTTTGTCATACTGTCCTGGCTGGCATGTTGCTATGAGGCTGGAGGCTTTGCCACAGGTATTTCAAATACCAGTAGGGTCACTCATGGTGGACAGATTTCAGCAGAGATTTCAGACTGACATAGACTCAGAAGACAGAAGGGGCCATCAACTTCTCAAAGAATTGGCCAGTGAAAACCTTATGAATAGCAATGAAACACTGTCTGATACATTACTGGAAAGCTTTATGAATAGCCGAGAAACATTGTCTGATTAATGCTGGAAGATGAGCCCCTCAGGTCAGAAGGCACTCAAAATGCGACTGGGGAAGAACTTTCTCAAAGTAGAGTCAACCTTAATGATGTGGATGGAGTAAAGCTTTTGGGATCTCCATTTGCTGTTGTGTTATGACTCAAAATGAGAAGAAATAGCTGCAAACATCTATTAATAATCAGAACATGGAATGTATGAAGTATGAATCTGGGAAAATTGGAAGTTGTCAAAAATGAAATGGAATGTGTAAAGATCAATATCGTAGGCATTAGTGAGCTGAAATGGACTGGTGTTGGCCATTTTGAATCAGACAACCACATGATCTAATATGCCGGGAATGACAAATTGAAGAGGAATGACATAGCATTCATTGTCACAAAGAATGTTTCAAAATCTATTCTGAAGTACATTGTTGTCAGTGATAGGATAATATCCATATGCCTGCAAGACCAGTTAATACTACTATTCAAATTTATGCACCAACCACCAAATGCAAAGATGAGGAAACCGAAGATATTTACCAACTTCTGAAGTCTGAAATTGGCCAGACATGCAATCAAGATGTACTGATTATTACTGGTGATTGGAGTGCGAAGTTGGAAACAAAGTTCCAACTTCCACCGGTAGTTGGAAAACATGGCCTTGGCGATAGAAGTGACGCCGAAGATCTCATGATAGAATTTTGCAAGACCAACGACTTACTCATTTTAAATACCTTTTTTCAACAACATAAACGGCAGCTATACATGTTGATTTCATCAGATGGAGTACAGATTGACTACATCTGATGGAGAATCAGATCGACTACACCTGTGGAAAGAGGTGATGAAGAAGCTCAATATCTTCAGCCAAAACAAGGCTGGGAACTGACTGTGGAACAGATCATCTCCTGCTCACGTGCAAGTTCAAGCTGAAGCCGAAGACAATTAAAACAAGTGCATGAGAGCCAAAATATGACCTTGATTATATCCCTCCTGAATTACATCATCTAAAGAATAGATTTGACGCAGCTCGAGAACACAAAGTCAGTTACTATAATGAAATGTAGAAAGACCTTGAGTTAGAAAACCAAAAGGGAAGAACACACTTGGCATTTCTCTAGCTGAAAGAACTAAAGAAAAAACTCAAACCTTGAGTTGCAATATTGAAAGGTTCTATTGGCAAAATATTGAATGATGCAGGAAACATCAAAAGAAAATGTTAAGGAATACACAGAGTCACTATGCCAAAAAGAATTGGTCAGTGTTCATCCATTTCAGGAGGTGGCATATGATCAAGAAACAATTGTACGAAAGAAGAAATTGAAGGAATTGGTGAAGAACAAGGCTCCAGGAATTGACGGAATACTCTGAGATGTTTGATCAAACGGATGCTGCATTGAAGGTGCTCATTCATCTATGCCAAGAAATTTGGAATACAGCTATCTGGCCGACTAACTGAAAGAGATCCATATTTGCACCCATTCCAAAGAATGGTGATCCCACAGAGTGTGAAAATTATCTAACAGTATCACTAATATCACACACAAGTAAAATTTTGCTGAAGATAATTAAAAAATGGTTGCAGCAGCATATTGACAGAGAACTTCCAGAAATGCAAGCTGGATTCAGGAGAGGATGTGGAACAAGGGATATCATAGGTGATGTCAGATGGATCTTAGCTGAAAGCAAAGAATACCAGAAAGGTGTTTACTTGTGTCCTATTAACTGTGCAAAATCATTCAGTTGTGTGGATCATAACAAATTATGGATAACATTGAGAAGAATGGGAATTCCAGAACACTTGATTATACTCCAGAGGAACTTGTACATAGATCAGGAAGCTGCCATTTGAAGAGAACAAGGAGATACAGTATGGTTTAAAATCAAGAGGGGAGTGCGTCAGGATTGTATCTTTCACCATACTTATTCAATTTGATGCTGAGCAAATTATCCAAGAAGCTATGTTATATGAAGAAGAACACAGTAATTAATTGTGCTCACAAGGAACCTGTACATATACCAGGAGGCTGTAGTTCAAACAGAACAAGGGGATACAGAATGGTTTAAAATCAGGGTTGTATCCCTTCACCATACTTATTCAATCTGTACACTAAACAAATAATCTGAGAAGCTGGACTATATGAAGAAGAATGTGGCATCAGGATTGGAGAAAGACTCATTAACAACTTGGGATATGCAGACGAAACAACCTTGCTTGCTGAAAGTGAAGATGACTTGAAGCACTTACTGATAAAGATTAAAATCTACAGTCTACAGTATGGATTACACCTCAACATAGAGAAAACAAAAACCCTCACAACTGGACCAATAAGCAGCATCAAGATAAATGGAGAAAAACTTAAATATACCAAAGATTTCCTATTTCTTGGTTCCATGATCAACAGTGGAAGCAGCAGTCAAGATATCAGATATCGTATTACACTGAGCAAATCTGCAGCAAAAGACCTCTTTAAAGTGCTGAAGAGCAAAGATATCTTTTTGAAGACTAAGGTATGCGTAACCCAAGCATGGTATTTTCAATAGCCTCATATGCATGTGAAAGCTGGACAATGAATAAGGAAGACCAAAGAAGAATTGATGCTTTTGAGTTGTGGTGTTGGTGAAGAATATTGAATGTACCACGGACTGCCAGAAGAACAAACAAATCTGTCCTGGAGGAAGTGCAGCTGGAATGTTCCTTGGAAGCGAGAATGGCCAGACTTCGTCTCACCTACTTTGGTCATGTTTTCAGAAGGGACCATTCTCCCTAGAGAAGGATATCATGCTTGGTAAAGTGGAGGGTCAACGGAAAAGGGGAAGGCCTCAATGAGATGGAGTGACACAGTAGCTGCAAGAATGGGCTCAAGTATAGCAAGGATTGTGGGGCTGGCACAGGACTGGGCAGTGTTTCGTTTTGTGGTACATTGGATCTCTATGAGTCAGAGCTGACTCGATGGCACCTAATAGCAACAACAATGAATTGTAATTTTATAGAGTTCTGCAACCATTACCACAATGCAGTCTTAGAACATTCCCATTAGAACAAGGCCGTTTCTCTCTTTCTATACTTCTCTAACACTTGAGATTATGTAGCCCTCAATATAAAATTTAATTATATGCTGTCTATTACTATTTGCTGATGTTTAAAGTAATTTGATCCTGTGTCCATTACTGGAATGTCAGTTTCCAGGGGGCAGTGATCAGAGGGGTAGGAACCATCTACGTTTATACAATTAATCCCCATTCCCACTCCCAGCCCCAGACAATCACTATTTTGTTTTCTGTCTCTACAGATCTGGACATTTCATGTAAATGGAATCTTACAGTATGCGATGTTTTGTGATTGATTTCTTTCACTTAAAATACCAAAAACCAAACTCACTTTCATAGAGTCAAATCCAACTCATAGCGACCTCCACTGAGTTTCTGAGGCTGTAACTCTTTATAGAAATAGATCACTCCATCTTCCTTCCGTGGAGCAGCTGGTGGGCTTGAACTACTGACCTGGTTGGTTAGCAGCCAAATGCTTTATCCACTGTGCCACCAGAGCCCCTTTCATTAAGCATCATGTTTTTGATGTTTATTCATGTTGCAGCATGTATGAGTGCTTCAGTCTTTTTTATTGCTGACTACTATTCCATTATATGAATGTACCACATTTTGTTTATTCATTCATCAGTTAATGGACATTGGATTATTTCCATTTTTTTGCTATTATGAATAATGCTGTTATATGTTTTTGTGTGGACATTTGTTTTCCTTATCTCTGGATAGTTTTCTTTAGAGTGCTGAGTTTATGTTTAACTTTATGGGAGACTGTCAGATTTTTCCAAGTGACTGTGCTGTTTTATATTTTCATCAGCCATGTATTAGAGTTCCAGTTTATCCATGCATGTCCTCCCCAACACTTGGTATTGTCTATTTTACCACAGCCATTCTGGTGGGTGTGTCATGCTATACCTTTTGACAGAACACAAATTAAGATCTCAAGAAAATCACTGGTGCAAAATAGTATTTTTGTGTATATACATTGATCTAAAAGAGTTTTCTGTTGAAATTCACCAGAATTACATTTTACATTAAGATTCCTTAAAATTTTCTTGACAGCAGTGCTGCTATATTCAGCTATATAGGATGCTATATTCAGCTGGAAAAAGAAAACAAACTGCTGTGCTAGCAATAGTGACAAGTGATTAGCAGTAGGTGAAGATGGGAGTTTTGAAGACTTGTACAAATATCCCAAAGACAAAATGGTTTAATTCCTCTTATCCCTTAAATAATACTTTGGTGAAGAGTTGAATTTGTTTCTTGTGTTGGAATCTGGTTTGTGTGGAAAGCCTGTAGGCTTAGCAGATAAATGGTCTTCACTGTGGCTTTACTATTATCGTGCATAATTCTGATTTCTTGGTTAGAGCAAAGATATAACTTATTTTCAATTTCCTTCAGGTCACCATTATAATTTATCTCTCCATTTTGGGCCTGCTACTTCTGTACATGGTATATCTTACTTTGGTTGAGCCCATCCTGAAGCGACGCCTCTTTGGACACTCACAGTTGATACAGAGCGACGACGATGTTGGGGTAAGTTCTCAGTCTGCCAGGACTGCTCATGGCTAGTCTCTTGTCATCATCTGATGTAAAATGCAAGTGAAAAATAGTCCTATATACATGTTCATATGTGGAGCAGATCCTTAATTAGAGAAGCGAATTTCGAGTACTGATTATAATATAGATCTCTTTCTGAAGGCATCCCTCTGTCCTTAAAACTATAATTGTCATGGTTTAAACTGATGATCTTTGTTGATATAAAACCTTCCTATCAAATAAAACTCAAAACCATTTGGTGGAATAAAGGGGGGGGACCAGGTTTGCTGGTATGATAGAGCCTGGTGGAACCACTGAGACTGTGGTCCCTAGCTGCCCTTCAGATCTGGAATTGAACCCACACCTGTGGCTTCCAGCCAAACAAGACAGGCATAGGAGTTGAAAATGTACCTGAGGTAGATACATTCCTTGGAGAGAACAATCATGGGAGAAAGAAGGGCTGTTTATGCACAAGGAGACAGCTCAGGGGGCAGGAGTGCATGGAGGGATGGACACAGAGAAGAGGTAACTATGGGAAGGAAGTGGGAGGGAAGCTGTTGCATTGGGGTAAATTGTAGTCAGTGTCATGAGACAACGTGTGTGTGAACTGCTATATGGAAAATGAATTTGCTCTGTAAACTTTCACCCAAATCACAATTAAAAAAAAAAAAAAAACCTTCCCATCAGTACCAAGGGCCTATTTGTCATTGCATGTCTCACTGCATGTTTACACTGAGGAGAGCATCTGAAACCATCGCTTCCCCCCCCCCCAAGTTCTTGACTAAAGCACCTTTATTATCAGCATCACCAAATAGTTTAGAAGGCAAAGAGGCCTTGATGAAGGGAACCATAATGGCCATGACATTCCTTTCCTAATGAATTGCAGCTTTATAACCTGCTAATGTTTTGTTGTTGTTGTTGTTATGTGCCATCGAGCCAGACCCGACTCATAGCGACCCCTCCTTGAGTTGCCGAGGCAGTATCACTACGGAAGTAGGTTGCCCAACCTTCCTCCTGCTTAAAAACAATCATTTTTAGAGAAAAATAAAACCATCGCTGCGGATTCTCTTCCTACCTTTAAAACACACTTATATTTGCACATGCAATTGGTATGAGCAGTGTATAAATTGTTTCCTGGCCTCCTTTTTGCCTTAACATTATTTCATACAAGAATGACCAGAAGTTGGCATGGTCCACAAACTTGTTGTTCAACATAACTTAGAGAATTATTTTGTTTTGTTTTTATCATTCTCCTGTTTGGGCTTGTTCCTAAAATTTCCACTATTTCATTATTATATATAATTTTTTTTTAATAAATTATTTTTTCTGTTGGATTATTTCCTTGGTCTATGTTCCTTAAAATAGATTTAAGGATCTCAGTAAAGTTTAAAAGTCAATTCCATAAGCCAAAGCCAAAGCAAGCCCTTGCCAACTATACTCAAAAGTCCTTTACTGTGGAATGGCTTATGAACCTTTTGGTAAAAGATGGAAAAGGAGATCCTGAATGGATGGCTTTAGTTGCAGTTACAAACAGAGCCTGCTTTTTGATCAATACATTGTTGTCTCATGAATATCAATTATGAATACTTAACTTATTTGGGTAATATTTTTTTCCCCAAGAACTTTCATAAAAACACCTCTGTTTGCCTCTTTTTACCTTGTTTCTTTTATTAATTCATCCAGTACATAATAAATAACTTTTCTGTATCAGGTACTATGCTGGGACTAGATATAAAAAGATGAATAAAATGGAAACAGACATGTAAAAGAAATGCGTAACAGTAGTTTGTTTTGTTTCCCCCTTTTATTTTGATTATATAAGAAATGGGTATTTGTTTTAGAAGAATTAGGGGGGAAAAAAAAAAAGGAAGAGAATTACCTTAAACTCAACCACCTAGAAAAAAAACATTTTGATGTTTATTTTTCCAGTCTTACACCTGTAGTATGTATGTGTTCTATACCTATAGTGTATAATATTGTCATACACTGTGTCATGGTATTGCAGTGGAAGTCAAGATTAGGAATCAAGGAAGATTTCCTAAAGCAGATGACTTCTGAGCCAGAATTGCAAGAGTTTGCTAAGTAGATTAGAAGGTAGGAGTGAGCAGGGCTTTCTAAACAAAGGAAGCACTATGTGTGAAGATACAGGGGCCTGGGAAGCAAGCTGGGAACCCTGCACTGTTCGGTCTTGTAGAATGTAAAATGGGAGTGTGGGGAGAGGTGAAACTGAAGAGGTGATGGCAGTAATGGGCTTTGGGGAGCTGAGCTAGAAAGGGAAAGAAACAAAGTCAGGAGGAGACTGGTAGGCTGTGGGAAAGGTCAAGATGGAGAGCTGCTGTGTCAGAAACCAGGCATAGTGGGGGTTGTAGGGCAGCGAGCTGCATCAGGAGGCTGTACACCAGAAGCATTAGAGTCTCAAATGCTGCTGCCATGTCATTTCATTCATGTATGACAGGGTTTCTCACCCTTGACACTATTGACATTTGGGCTGGATAATTCTTTATTATGGGAGGCTGTTCTGGGCACTGTAGGATGTTTAGTAGCATCCCTGCCCTCTACCCACCAGATGCCTGTCCCAATCATGACAATCAAAAATGTCCACAGACATTGCCAAACGACTAACAATAGTGCGTCAAATGTCCCCTGGGGGGACAAAAATCACCCCCAGCTGAGAGCTACTATCATATGAAGTGTGGTGTATCAACGGCCACATAAATCATTTTCAATATAGGCACATAGGTAGAAAGTCTGACTTAAAGTGTATCCTTTATAGCATTAAATACCTGGGTCCTGCTTTCAGGAATCGACAGCATTCATACTACACACAAAACACAAAATAAATGGATGTACAGATGTATAGATGAAAACATGTAGGGCAGGCTCTTGATTGATGGGGTCACGTACTCAGTAACCATTTTGTCCACAAGTGATTGATCCTGCATTGAACACTGAGACTCTTGCCTTTTAGAGGCCTGGCTGACACTCAACATAGCTGTCAAACTGACTCTGGGTAGACAGAGGTTTGATGACCAGACCTGTGAATTTATGGTAGCAACTCTAACAAAAAGATGTTTAAATTTAAATTTCTACAATTGTTGCTTATTTAAGATGTGAGTTGTTTACTATTTATTTATGTACTTATTGAAGTACTTTTGTTAAATTCTCAAATTCCAGTTTTCATTTTTGTTTAGTGTAGAGAATTTTAAACCAAATGAGAGTTAGTACAGATAGTTAAGCTCACTGCAAGTAGTCACAATATTTACTGTATTGTATATCCATGACACATCATCACTGTTATCAAAGCTTTACATTAAAACATGTTTTGTATTTATTGTAATTTTATCAGGTGTAAAAAGAACGAACATATAAAAAGGGTTAATCTCTATTTGTATTCTCCCAGCATTTGTGACCATGAGCAGCTGGTTCAATCTTGTTCTGATAGGTGGAGAACAGACCAAAAGGATTACCTGGTTTGTTTGGTCCTTTAAATTTGTTCCTTAAGAAGCTTTCTTTTCTCCTACCTTGAAGAGCAGATAAAAGGACTATGAAACTGAGAGGTGCTCAGTACATCCTTCTTCCCAGTCTTGTTTATGTCAAAACAAACCAGTTTATATACAAGTTCACTGAAGCACCATATTCCTATAGTGTCTTTTTAATCTACCGGAACAAAAGGAGTGTGTTGAGAAGATGTGACATGCAATCAAGGTCAGACAAGCTGAGTTTTAATGTTTGCTCTCATTTGTTAAATGACCTTGGGTCAGTTTATTTCCTTATGGGAAATCAAGTGATCTTACAACGTTAGCCTTTCTCTTTCCTTCTGAGATCTTTAAAACATTTTGAACTTACGGAGTTTTTTTATTATTATTATTTTTGTTTGTAAGTTGTGGTGGTTATGTTCGTGTGTCACCTTGGCTGGGCCTGGTTAAGTGGCTGGGCAGCTGGTGGTAGTTATTCCCCATGATGAGACTGGCAATCAACTCCATGGTGGGATCTACCACAAGCAGCTGAGTAGCTGCTTTGGGTATGTGGTCTCCTTCCCATGTATAAGAAGCAGCTTTGGGAATGGTCTCTAGCTTATGGCACCTTGAACCCTACACATAGCCACGCCATTGTTCGGTAGTCTGCCATTCTCTGCCAACCTTGGGAATTACAATGGACTTGAATTAATGGCCTGCTGTGTGGTTTGGTAACATCAGGACTTTGCCTTTTTACTTGTCAACCTTGGGCTTGGCAGCCTCAGCAGCCAGCAGCTGAGTGAATAAAAGACTCTAGCTTCAGTGGTCCGGGGGCTGGAGGCAGAGCTGAAGCCCAAGGCCGAGGGGCTTTCACCCAGCCCCTAGAGCCTGGCACTTTCAACTCGGACTTCTAGCCTCCTGAACTGTCAGAGAATAAACTCCTGTTTGTTCAAGTCATCCCATTTGTGGTATATTCTTGTCAGAGCGGCACTAGGTAACCAGAACATAAGGTTAAAAATAAACACTAAGTGAAGTTTTCACAACTGTTAATGTAACTTAAAAAGTTGAGAGAATTTTGGTAAACACGGCAAGGAAAAATTTTTTATAGAAAACTTTTTGATGTCTTTGAAATGTAGATATTGTGTGTATCTTGCTATAAAAACAAGACCAAGTGTTATAACATCATATTGTCATATATATGCATGTGTTTGTGTATCCGTATAAATAGAGAGAGGGGGAGAGTGAGTGAGTGTTACAGGGCTATATATAGCATCCCATATACATACACATTCCATATATATGCTCCTGGGTATATAATAGAGCTTTTTCAAACATGTAGAACAAATATTGTTACTCTCCTAGAGGGAAAGTTTAGCTTAAGTGGTAGTACTTGTGACTTGGATCCCGTGTTGGAACATTTAGAAAATTTACTATCCCAGGGTTTGGGAAAAGAGACTAAGGGAAAAGGCAAACAAAAACAATAAATTACTATTGAAAGCTTTTTGTCATTTAGGCAGCTGTGTTTATATCTCATAGATAGATTAGCACAGTGGTTTCCTCTGTAATGACTACAAACATCAAGTTGCATTGGTTTACTTTGACGAGAACAGGTTGGTTTTCTATTCAGATACCAAGGTAACCCTTGAATAGCATCTGTCCTAAGGCAGCAGCTAGCATGGAAGCTGCTAGGTGTTTAGCAAGGAAAGATTCAAGTCTGTGGAATAGACTTGCTGAAATAATAACTCCTCACTGTCCTTGGTAATAGGGGTAATTGTAGCACTTGAGCTGTGAGTCTTTTCATTAGGGACAGGGGAATGAGAAGGCTTTTGGGAATCAGTGCATTTAATGTATGTGTTGAGGGTGCAAGAGAGATTAAAACCAACCAGGATAAGACCCTGTCAACTCATCTTCCAAGGTGGATGTGGCCCCAGCTGGCAGGTAGACAATTCTAATAGGAAATTAAAAGACAGGTCTTACCTGTGCCACAGGTGAGCTATTTACAGTAAAACCTGCAAAAGCTGGAACTGTGTAAGATGGAAACCTGTCAGAAAAGGAAAACTCAAGTTTTGCATTAAAACGAGCAGTAGAAAATTGGTAATTCTGCACCCTGTCAAGGGTGGAAAACTTGCGAGACCTGGAAAAACAAGGCAGTCCTGTCAAGTTCTGGTTCTCACAGGTTTCGGTCACTGTAGTGTACAGAGTTAACCAAGGGAAAGGAAAGCCCTACTTTCCATATCTGTAAAACATGGAATTTCCCCAACTCATCAGGGAAGGCTTCTCTTTGACATGAATTACCACTGTCTTCATTTTGAACCCTGTCTTAAGGAAAATCTTTTTGGAAATGGTGATCAGTGGTAGCATTTCATAAATACCTGTCATTGCTTATGCTTCCTGGCTCACCTATTTCCATATTCAGTTCATCCTACTGGCAGTTAAGTGTCTGGGAGTGCTTGGGCAGTGTTGTTTGAGAAGTTCAGTTGTTCCTAACCTGGGCTGGTTTTTGTGTGTGTTTTATACTGATCATGTCATTCCTGATGTTCTCCATTCCTGGACTTTCAGGATCACCAGCCTTTTGCAAATGCTCACGATGTGCTGGCCCGCTCCCGCAGTCGAGCCAATGTGCTGAACAAAGTAGAATATGCCCAGCAGCGCTGGAAGCTTCAAGTCCAAGAGCAGCGAAAATCTGTCTTTGACCGTCATGTTGTCCTCAGCTAATTGGGATTCCAGATCAAGGTGATTAGAAACAAAGCAAAACAAAGGAAGAATTGGCTGAGTTCTAACCTCCTTACTGATTTCACCAGACTCTTACTGGAAGATTCAAAACTGGAAGTAAAAATGTGCTTTGTATTTTTTTTTCCCCTTAATGTATTAATAGAGACATTTTTGAAAGCACACATCTCAAATGTCAGCTAATAAACTTTTTTCCTATTTGTGACTTTTACTAATATAAATAAATCTGCCTTGTAAATTATTTTGAAGTCCTCTACCTGGAACAAGCATTCTCTTTTTAACCATACAGTTTTAACTTATTTTTCAGGATAATTTTCAGGTTTTGTTTGTTTTGCAGGGGGTGGGTGGGAGATGTGTGGGAAGTACTTAACTTTTCTCAAGTCACTTTATTAAACTTTTGTAAATAGACTTTACCTCCTGTTTTCAAGTTTCATTTGTATTTTGCAGTGTAGCCAGCCTCATCAAAGTTCTGATTTAGCCATTTTGAATTTTGCACTGACTCTATTAGCTAGGCAGTTGGTTGGCCTGCAGCAGCACTTCATGGGTAAACTGGATGTGAAATGCCTGGTGGCTGTTCACAAAAAATTGCAGAGTCTGTTTATGAACTGTGATGTCTGATGCAATGCATCCAAAAACAAACTAGCCATTTGCTAGTTTACTCTAATGACTAAACATAGTCTTGGTGTGTGTGTGGTCCTTCCCATCTTCTTCTGGTATCTTTAAGGATGCATCCTAAGGACGTGGACGCTTGCAATAAAGCCATTTTCTTTTAAACCCAAGCCTCCTGGATTGATGACATACATATATTTGTCAGCATTTCTGGATGTTGGGAGGCAACTGTGTGAGCTCTAGTGTGTGCAGCTTTGAACTGGGACTGAGGGTCTTGGTGCCTCCCTTGGAGACGTGTAATAGTTATTGGATAACTGGCTTTTTCTTCATATGTCCTCTTGGGAATGTAACAATAAAAATAATTTTGAACACCTACCATTTTGTCCATGTCTCCTTGCTTTTGACCACTGCCTCTTTGCCTATAGGGTAAATGTGAAGCTACAATGACATTTGGTACCCTTTTGTGAGGCTACGGTTTTAAACCATTCTAAACATAAAATTCTGATACTAAATTATCTGTGCATATGTGTGGGAAGAGACTGAGATTCTCTGGGTGCTTGGTTAGGGCTCTGAAAAGTAATATCATTTTGATATATTAAGGAATTTAAAGTTTTTTCTACTGAAAAAAAATTTAGGCAAAAATTATACTAGAATTAAATTGCATTGAATTTATAACAAGTAAAGTTTTAGAGGCTGTAAATGGGTAGGGTTTTTTGTTTTGTTTTGTTTTTTTAAGGAGCTCTGGTGGCAATGAGTGTGGCTTTGGTTTGCTAGTGGTGCAGTGATTAAGCATGTGGCTGCTAAGTGAAAAGTTGGAAGTTCAAATCCATCAGCTGCTCTGTGGGAAAAAAATGTGGCAGTCTGCTTCCATAAAGATCTATAGCCTTAGAAACCATATGGGGTAGTTCTACTCTGTCCTTTAGGGGTGGCTATGAGTTGGAATCAACTGGATGACAGTAGATTTGGTGGGTTTTTTTGCTTGTGTTTTTAAATGGATTTTTTGGTTAGTAAAAACAAATATTTTAAACTCACAAATCTAACCAAAAATAATTGATTTTGTAGTTAGTATTAAAGATCATGTTAATCTAAAGGCCATGTTAATCTTTCTGGTTCTGCTCTTTATCTAAAAGAATATTGTCTAATATATATATGTATTATACATATAAGATATTTTCTATAAGTAATTTTGGTAAAAAAAATAATTCAGATACATGGGGGTCATTCATTTTACAGAAGAGTCTGTTACAAGAGTCTAGTTTTGTAAGCAGACTTTTATTTAGTAATGTTGTGTGTTGTCATATCTACGTATTAGGTAGGAAATAAAGCTAAACCAGAACTGTGCAGTTCTGTTTAACTATAAGCTACTTTGCATATTGTCACCAGTGATCACCTATAAATCTGGCAAGTCTGACCCAGCCCGAACTACAGCATCTTGATGACAAAACTCAGGTAAGAGGCTTCTCCAGAGTGGCCCATGGGGAAGAAGATGGTTTTAAGAAAATCCCTAGGAAAGGTTGATAAGTGGTGAATTTTGTTAGCTATCTGATTACTCACTTATCTTAAACTATCAAATATTGCCCATATATTCAAAGATCCAGATTTTTGCTGTGGATCGTCCACTCTGGAGGAGTGGAAGCATTTTGGTTTGAAGTCGAGACCTCAGTTCTGGTCCATATTCTCCTACTAGCTTTGCATCATCAGCCAAGTCAACCTCTCTGTGCACTAGTTTCCTCATTTGAAAAATGAGGGTTTGGAGAAGAGGAATTCCAAGGTCCCTTCCAGCTCTAAAACCCATCATGTGTAGTTACAGCTTTTTGTATTTTTGCTAGATATTTTTAATATCTCTGAAAGTTAAAAAATTTTATGCTCAATAGAACATCCAGAATCTCTTAGGATTTTATCATTAAATCCTTGTCATTTTCCCAGAAGAGGTCTAAGATAGAAACCTGAGTTTTTCTCAAGACGGGTGGGTGTGTTAGCTGTGCATGATTGTATGTGGAACTGTGGCACCCAGCACCAACAGTCTGTGTTGCTTTCTTTTAAAACTTGTACTCAATTTTTATAAACACTTTCAGCCTCCCACTGTCCTTCCTATCCTGATTCTCTTCATCACTGCTTTTTTTTTTTTTTTTCTCCCCTTCCCATTCTCTTACTCTGTTGTTTTGTGGTTAATTTCCTTCTTTGAATAAAACATGTCTCCATCTAAATGCTTTTACATTAATTGATGAACTTACTGGAAATGCTGCACAGAAAAAGCTCATCGACGTGTCTCCAGAGACACCAGGCTCTCTTTCTGAAACTTATGCAAACTCTTGTTAAAACCTGAAACTTTCAATTACTCATGGCAAATATAGATCACTTAGATTTCATCTCACTCAAGGTTTAAGATATTTAAATTATACTTCAGGGTGTCAAACTCCATGCCACGGTATTGTTACATATAATTGTCTTTGAACACACTGGTAACTTGTTAATCAGTTCTGGTTTAGGGCTAGAGGCAGAAATAAGGCTCTGCTGTTGTGAGAAATGTAGTTCCAGGCTCTAATACCTGTTGTGGCGTCATGTGGCAGCTTTTACGTAAGTAAGTGTTCTTTATCTCTTACTCTCTAGAATTCCTGGCTTGGGAATTTCCTCTTTCCACTCAGCAACTTTTTGACATAATCTTGGCTCGTTTTTGATCTTCAGAGATTTTTGAGTATATTAGTTATTTTAGGGCATTTTGTCAGTAAGTTGTAATCTTTTGTTTCTTGTCCCTCTGCTATAATATTTAATTGGGTTTAATGCCCTCTTCTCAGCCGCCCTGCGTTAGAGCTTGTCCTGCATTTGCTCCTTCTCCAGCCTATTTCACCATGACTCATTATAATCTTCCCCGACTCCCAATTTCTGCCACCCTTCTGTTGCCACAGTCACTCATCTTCTGAGAGGCCATACCTGATGGGCTTGTTCACGAGAGTTGGAACACATTCTTTTGCACTTGAGTTCTAGTGCTTAGAGGCTGCTTTTCCCACTTACATGGAGGAGCCACAGAGTGTTAGCCTGTGGCTCAGACAGGCAAGCGCCAATGTTATGTAATCTTGCCTACAAACCTTACAACATACATACCAGCTGCCGTTAAGTTGATTCGACTCAGTAAGAACCCATGTGTGTCACAGAATTGTGCTCCATAGGGCTTTCAGTGGCTGATTTTTTGGAAGCAAATCTCCAGGCCTGTCTTCCAAGGGGCTTCTGAATGGACTCAAACTGCCAGTCTTTAGGTTAGCAGCCAAGTACTTTAACTGCCACATACCTTAAAACTGGCTTTCTGGTGTTTTTCCTTTGTATATGCCAACCACAAAGAATAACCTTTCCTAAAGCTGTTAAAAACAAACCCCCAAGAAATTAACAGCCTTATTTCCTTCCTTTCTGGAGGCTAGTCTGATAATCAACCACCATTGCTTTTCATTTTTTATTTTTTGTGTTCATCCTCAACCAATGTGCTTTGACTAGATAAATATTTTCGTTCTCCAGTGTTAGGGAAAAAATATAAGGCAGGTTTTCTGTAAGGTACAGTTTGGAAATGGATACTGCATAAGTATTCACCCATGAAGAAAGGAACGAGAAAAAGAACTAATGCTGGTGCTTGGTAAACCTAAAGCCTATTGCCATTGAGCTGATTTTGACTCATAGTGACCCTATAGGACCCTATAGAACTGCCCAATGGGGTTTCCATCTTTATGGAAGCAAACTGCCACATCTTCCTCCCACAGAGAGGTTGGTGGGTTTGAACCTCAGGCCTTTTGGTTAGCAGCTGAGCATGCTTAACCACTGCACCATCAGAGTTTCTTCTTGTACTTGGTACATTGTATGTATTTGCATTTAATCCTTACAACCACCTGCAGACTAGTTAATATCTCAATTGGACATAGGCAGAAGCTGAAATTCAAGACAGGTTAAGGAACTTGTATAAGAACATATAGCTAGGAAAGGTAGAGCCAAGATTGAAACTAGAAGGTGTTAGGACTGAATGAATAACTCTCTTTTCCAACAGCACTACTCTGATTTCCAGTTGTCTGGTTAAACTCAATGGCTCTGTAAAGTCTGTTGTGACTACCTTATTACAAAGACAAAAAGTAATGGTGGTTAAAACTATTAGATGGATGCAGACCTATTCGGAAATAGGAAATATGTTAGTGTGGGACCTCCCCCCCCCAAAAAAAAAAAACCACAAATTCATTGCTGTGGAGTCAGTTCCACACATAGTGACCCCTCCTTAGGTTTCCAAGGCGGTATCACTACGGAAGTAGATTGCCCAACCTTCCTTCTGAGGAGTGGCTGGTGGGTTTGAACTGCCAGCCTTCTCGTTAGCAGTCACATGCCTTAGGCACTACACCACCAGAGCTCCTAGTGTGGGACCTACAAGGGTATAATACTTTATCCTAGTGCTTCATAGGGACAAAAAGAAAAACTAAACTAAAATAGATGCATTTTATTCAACACATGTAATGTTCTGTGTAAGTGAAAATTTGTAAATTGAACTAGGGGAGTTTCTCACAGTGAATTTTAATTTTTATTATTTAAATAATTTTATTTTTGCTGTGGTTCGGAATATAAGCAGCAGAACATACACCAATTGAACACTTCCTTGGTGTACAATTCAGTGACATTGATCACATTTTTCAAGTTGTGCAGCCTTTCTCCTCCTCCTTCCCCGCTCTCCAATTGTTCTTTCTTCATTAACATAAACTTACTGCCTCCTTAAGCTTCCTGTCTAACCTTGGAGATAATGTGGTCAGTTTGATCCTATGTAGATAGTTCTTTAAAAGAGCCCACTGCTCAAAGTAGACATTCTTTACTAACCAAACTATTGTTTGGCTTAAAGAGGATATCAGGGGATATTTTTGGTTTAAAGTTTAAAGATTATCTCAGGGCAGTAATTTCAGGGCTTTTCCAGCCTCAATGACTTCTAGAAAGTTATAGTGGATTTTAAAAGCAAATAATGCCTTTCTTACTTTTAATTTTTATTTTGCTCCTTGTATATCAGATATTGCGTATGCCTGTGAGGTTGCATGAGCATTAACTAGTTTGTCATTTCTCCAACATGTATTTGAATATTGTGGTATTTCAACGTTTCCCAAACTTCATTTGCATATACCTTCACAGTCTTAAAGGAGCTCTGGTGGCCCAGTCCCTAAGGCATTTGACTGCTAACCAGAAGGTTGTTGGTTCAAACCCACCAGCCTCTCCGTGGAAGGAAGGCTGGGCATTCTACTTCCATAAAGATTTACTGCCTCAGAAACCCAAAGGGGGTTGCTATGAGTTGGAATCAACTTGATGGCAGTGAGTTTGGTTTGGTTCACAGTCTTCATCACCTCTATGTTCCACCTGTGTTACTAATATTTTTCTTTAAATCACATTTTTTACTCAAGTAGATTCATTTTTAAAAGAAGCTTTATATCACTGCTGTAAATGTGAAATCAGTAAAATTAACAATATAGAGTTAGCAGTAAAAATATGATTAAATTCTAGCTAGATACTAAACCAAAAAGAAGCAACAAACCAAACCTATTGCCATTGAGTCAATTTAAACTCATAGCAACCCTAAAGAACAGAGTAGAATTGGCCTGTAGGGTTTCCAAAGCCGTAGCCACTCCTTGGAAGGAAGATGGGGCACTCTACTTCCATAGTGATACTGCTTCGGCAACCCAAGGAGGGGTCGCTATGAGTCGAGTCTGACTCCATGGCACCTAACAATAATAACAACAACAACAATCTTTACAGAGGGAGCTCTGGTAGCATAGTGCCTAAAGCACTTGACTGCTAACCAGAAGGCTGGCAGTTCAAACCCACCAGCCACTGCTTGGAAGGAAGGTTGGGCAATCTACTTCCATAGTGATACCGCCTTGGAAACCCAAGGAGGGGTCACTATGAGTCGGGTCTGACTCGACAGCACACAGCAACAACAACAATCTTTACAGAAGCAGACTATCACATCTTAAACCATAGACCTTCCAGTTAGCAGCCAAGGGCTTAACTGCTGCGCCACCGGGTCTCCTCAGCTAGGTACTACTGCTTGTTTGAGACTTTGATCTGAGGGGTTAGAAAGCGCTCTACAGTACTGCAGAAGACACTATCATGAGACTCAGGCTATATCTTTCTAATGACAAGGATTAAAAGAGGATTAACTTTCTCACAAGGTGACTCAGTGTTACTTAATGTTGTTTCTGTGTACCATTGAAAATCTCCTGTTACCACCCACAGAATAATGTTACCCCATAAGTTTTCAGAATGATCTCAGAAATTATTTGTCAAAGCAGTAAAGTCTTTAAAAGCAAATGACATCTACTGTCTTTTCATCTGGTCAAATTAATAAGCTTGGTTGTATTTCTAGGTTAAAGAGGGAATGATGGACAATAGAAGCTACTCCAATCTGCCAGATAAACTGCCTGTCTTCTCTGATTCTACCCACTTGCCACTGACCCGGTCCTTCTTTCTGGACCCTGTGGTCACTTTCCACGTGTACCCTGAAGCCCCAGTGCCATCCCCTTACTCTGAAGAGCTGTCATTGCTGCCTTTTTCCAGTGACTCTATGATCATGGAGAATTATGGTGAATCCTGCCCCTTCTCTTTCTCAATGCCTTACCCAAATTACAGAAGGTGTGAGTACTCCTATGGGCCGGCTTTTATCCGGAAAAGGAATGAGCGTGAAAGGCAGCGGGTGAAATGTGTCAACGAAGGCTATGCCCAGCTCCGCCATCACCTCCCAGAGGAGTATTTGGAGAAACGACTCAGCAAAGTGGAAACCCTGAGAGCTGCAATCAAGTATATTAATTACCTGCAATCTCTTCTGTACCCTGAAAAGGCTGAAGCCAAGAATAACCCTGGCAAGGCACTCCCCATAATGGCAACCACCAGCCCCCACACTGACCCCATTTTTAGAATCATCTGACTTAGTGTTTCCAAATGGAAACAAATAATTTCACAAAATTGAGTCTCTTAAAGCATCATTCAATAATTTTTTCTAAATGTGATTTCTGTGTGGGCAGATAGTTCAAATGTTAACCTATGGTAGCTATTGCTTATGTGGATTTGAGATGCACCATACATTACCTTATATAGATGGAGAAGATAAGTCTTAAGTTTTTGTCATCTCCTTCAAGAGCTTTAGTAGGGGAAACGGGGCTCAGGTTCTCTAACCCTCCCATCCTGTCCTTCTCATACATTTGGCCAGAGTCTCAACTGTGAGACGCTCCCAGAAAGTCACTTTAAAGTATGACTAATAACTACCCAGTGCTTGTCTTGCATTTTGCAGACATTTCATGCTAAGCAATCACAATGAACCGCTTTGATTTATTCACGTTTGATGGTTTTTATTATTTGGGGTCAACAGAGAAGTCTAGACCTTACCCATGTCATGATGGGAAAGTATCTTAAAGCTGAAGCAAACATTCTTCACAAAGGCTTGTTGTCATTTGAAAATGTTTCAGAATCATATTTTTGCTGCATGCAGAAGACTTCCCCAGACAGCTTAGTGTAGGAGTTAAGAAGGCAGGCTCAGGAATTAAACTTGGTTTTTGTTCTGACTCTGCTACCTCCTCTCTGTGTCTTGGTTCCTCATCCACAAAATGAGAGTGATAATAACAGCAACTACTCCATATATTTATCATGAGAATTAATAGTACTTGCCACATAGTAAGTATTCATAACCATCTTTTATTATTACCTTTATCACTTTCTGCCCACAGCATCACCATTCTCCAGGTCCTCAAGGATAGGAAACTTGCACCTGCCAGGCCTTTTGGGAAAGAACCCTGTATCTTTGAGTCTGCCTTCAAAATGCCTCTCTATTTCCATGGCTAGCTTCAGGCTCTGTCTTCTCCCTTAACTCCAAGGTCCCATCTGTCACCAAACCCTGTGAGGACTTCCTCTACACTGTCACAGCCATCTCCACTGTCATCCATCTGTGAAGTCTTCCCCAATTTCCACCCTTAACATTACTTGAAGATAGGGACCAGTCTTATTCATCCTATATTCCTAGCACCCAGCAAAAGACCTCAAACCAGGCGAGTGTCAGTAAATACTTGTTTTTTTTTTTTAAAAAAAAAACAAAAAAAACACACATTCCAGTGCTGTCACCTAGTGTCTGAGTCATTGTTAACAGTCTCCTCTTTGACCTTCTGTGCTATGTTCTCAACAGGCTCCATCCAGTCTCACTCTGACATTCTTTCTTAAAGCAGTTCATGTCCCTCTGCCACTCAAACCCCATGATGACTTCCTTTTAACTACTATGTTTAAATCTATCTGCTTGGCTTTCAAAATTCCCTGCAATCTGTCCCCATCTCAAATATGCACCCTGATCTCCCAAATACCTCATTCTCCCAGAAAAGAAATTCATAGTCTAGTAAATGTATGGAATGTCACACTTCTCTTCCCCTCCACCATCAAAACCCCACTGGCCTCATTGAGAAATTGTGTTACTGCTGGAGTCTTCATTGATCTCTGTGACTCTAACTTTGTGCACCAAATAACTCAGCCTTTAGATACACTGTCTTGGGCAACGGTCATCCTGAGTACAAAATTACATTGTACTGTAAAGAGAGTCATTAGATGCTTCTGGTTGTAAATATTTTTCAAATGCCCGACCTAAACTGGCTTAATCTATAAAGCTAATTTATTGACTCACATAACTGAAATGGCTAACAATACGACTGCCTTCAAGAACTTGTTTTCTTTAGGTCTATCCTCTGTTTTCTTCTAGGGATAGCTTCAGCGTCCCAAAATAGCTGTGAGAAGCTTCTAGAACTACATGTTTTTTATTTATGTACAGGAACAAAGAGGAAATCTGTATCCCAGGATTCCCAACAAAAGTCCGGGTATTCACTGTGATGGGAGAGGCTCAGGACATGCTCATTCCTAACCATTATTCCCTGTGGCCAGAAGGATGGGGTGTACAGACTGGCATAGGTTCCACCCCTGGAGCTGAGGGTCCAGTCTACATGTCCTAACCACAGGGAAGTGCAGATACAGGAAACAAGGGGAAAGGGAGGAATGAATGAGGGAAAACATTCAGAGATGTTTCTACATATTTTTTGGTATTCTCCAATGAGTACAGTGCTAGGCACATAACTGGTGCACAGTGACTGTCAGATGTCACAGAATAGCAGCCTCCTCCTATGGATGTTTGTGTAAAGACTCGCTTGCCCACTAGGACATAGGTCATTCCTCACACTGGAATGCCCTGCCACTTCCCAGCTTTACAGGAGTGAGTGCCCACATCCACCTCTCACCTAAAATCCTCACAACTATCCCAGCTAAAGGAGCTCTGGTAGCATAGTGGCTAAAGCACTTGACTGCTAACCAGAAGGCTGGCCATTCAAACCCACCAGACACTCCTCGGAAAGAAGGTTGGGCAATCCTACTTCCGTAGTGATACTGCCTCGGAAACCCAAGGAGGGGTCGCTATGAGTCGGGGCCGACTCGATGGCACATAACAACAACAACAACATCCCAGCTAAGGAGAGAGAACCTTCGAAAACTGCCCTGATGAGAGCCATCTGAGTACACACATGAAAAATAAGAATGTCTCAGCAGTAAGAGGATGTAGAGATGCTCTCATTTCAGAAGGTCTGGGGAGGTGGAATGGCTGACCCAAGTCCTACAGCCAGAGCGGAATCTGCACTTGTTCCATTTGTCCCCACTACCCCATTGTGCAGGAGCTCTGGTAGCGTAGGGCCTAAGGCACTTAACTGCTAACCAGAAGGCTGGCAGTTCAAACCCACCAGCCACTCCTCGGAAGGAAGGTTGGGCAATCTACTTCTGTAGTGATACCGCCTGGAAAACACAAGGAGGGGTCGCTATGAGTTGGGTCCAACTTGATGGCATATAACAACAATAACAACAATCCCATTGCGCAAGTGGTCCACACCTCATCTCCTCAGCAGAGACCTGTCTGTTACAGAGCATGTCACGTCTTTGGTTCTTTTGTTTTAAACTACGGAAAACTTTTATGTTAAGAGTTCCTAGGCCAGCCAGTGGCTTCTACTTCCCCCTAGCCTCCTGCTTGTTCAGGGTGGAGGCAGATCAACAACTGGGTCTCTGTTGAGATCACCTCTTCACAGGACTCCCCCGAGATCCAGGGGAGTTTCTGAATGTGACTGACTCTTCTGTCAGTGGAACAGCCTGCCCCTTGGGAATTGAAGCCTTTCTCTCCACCTCCTACCAGGGTCTTCCAGAGAGCAATGGAGAACCATTGCTCTACCACCACACCCCTGGCCCTCACAACCTCTCTCTGGGCAGCTGCCCTACCAGCCTTGCCCCAAGCCCTGCAAGCCCCCCAGGAGAGTCAGTCCTGTCACCCCTTGCACATGCTCAGTACAATCACTTGGCTGCATGTTCCTGCTGGCTTGCATCCATGGCAACCTGCTTGGCAACCACCAGTCAGTTGGACTGTGGCCCTGAGCACCAACTGTCAAAGGCAGGAACCAAGACTGAGGTGGAGACCAGGAGTTTGGGGCTGTGGGTAAGTCCCTTTGGGGTCAGACCTTGTGCACTTGGGCAGGGACAGACTCCTGAGAGGGCTTAGATGGTCTGGTGTTGGACCCTGGGTGGCAGCTATTGTCTGTGAACAGTTGTGAGGTGGCTAGGTCCTGGGTTCTCAATTCAGCCTGGGGCCAGGGTTAGTCCTGTAGGTGTTTGGGTTAGGAGAGGAGTCTGCGCTTGGTTAAGGGGCCAGCTTATCTTCAGAGTTAAGGTTTGTGAGAGGAAGAATGGCTTTACTCTCCCAGGAGTCCCTGCCATTGGGAAGGAGGAAAGAGGGGGAAAAATAACATATATTGAGCTACTTATGTGCCAGCTACTTTACAGATATTATTTCCTGAGCAGTAACTGAAGCTCAGAGAGAAGTAAACATGCAGCCAGCAACCTGTGCAAAAGGGAATTAAAGCTGGTTTCCCTAAAATCACAGCTCTTGCTCTTTCAACCCCTCCACTATTTCCTGAGCCAAAGAATCAGGTGATTCAAAGAGGAACTGAGTGACTGTGAGATAAGGTGGGCTGCACATGGGCAGGTCACCTGAAGAGCTGAACCCCAACCCTGCTTGACATCCTCTGCTCAGCTATGGGCTGCCACTCAGGTAATGGTGGTATTGCTTTCAGGTGGATTCTCTGAAGCCATGGACTTTTCCTCAGGGCCTGGGATGCCTGTGCCCAAATACTGCAGCGTGACTACAACCCTGAAGACCCCTTGTCGGGACAGTGCTGCTCCTCCCTGGGACCTGTCCTACATCTGCCCCTTTGCTCTCCAAGCTCCTTGGCTCACCAGGCACCACCTCTTCACAAGGTACCTGTCTCTACCTGTGTGGGTGAAGGAAATTGTCTGCACCTTTCCTTTTCCTCTTTGTTTTTGGCACTGGGCCAGGAGGGAGGGAACTTACGTATTGGGAAGGTTGAAAGGTGTCTTTACTCGTGTGGTTGTGATTTGCCTGAACACAGGCAAATGAGTATCCTAAACCAAAAAAAAAAAAACAACTCACTGCTGTCAAATTGATTCCGATTTACAGTGTCCCCTCCTTGGGTTTCTGAGACAATATCTCTATGGAAGATACTCTATGCCCAATCTTCCTTCTGAGGAATGGCTGGTGGGTTTGAACTGCAAGCCTTCTGGTTAGCAGTCAAATGCCTTAGCACTATGCCACCAGAGCTCCCCACTACCCCAGCCTAAATGACATTCCTAGTAACCTCAAGGGCTGATCTAGCTTTTACCTTGCGTCATGGTTGTCACAGTTGGTGTGTGTGAAAGAAGGCATCAGGGAGCACTCAGTTACAAAAGGTTCTAGTTTATTTTTACCATGAACTCTGACACTTCCTCAGCCCCATATGGAAATTAGAGTTTCTATAACCAACAACTAAAGTAGGATCCAGGTCCCTCCTCAGGTCCTTTAAAACAAAACAAAACAAAACCAAAAAACCAAACTCACTGCTATCGAGTTGATTTGACTCATAGCGACCCCTCCTTGGGTTTCCAAGGTGATATCACTATGGAAGTAGATTGCCCAACCTTCCTTCTGAGGAGTGGCTGGCGAGTTGAACCAGTCAGATGCCTTCAGTATCCCTCAATTATCCTGGATTTTCCTAAATAGTGTCTTCAGTCAGTTGTATAAAGTCTGAATACTATTGTGCAAGTGGGCAAAGGAACCTGTCTATACTCATTAACCTGTTGTCATCAAGCCAATTCTGACTCATAGTGACCATATAGGACAAAGTAGAACTGCCCCATAGGGTTTCCAAGGCAGCAAACTACCTTATTTTTCTCCCATAGTGCTGCTGGTGGGTTCGAACCACTGATCTTTTTGAACCACTGTGCTATCAGGGCTCCTCATAAGCACAAAGAAATTGGGTAAATTCTAAGGACTCATGTGGAAATTAGAGTTTCTATAACCAACAACTAAAGTAGTGAGGGACATAACAGCTTGAAAGCTCCCTTTCTTGATTCACTTATGTGGACCATCCAGTTCAAGGCCAGAGTTAAGCATCCTTTGCTTCAGACCCCTGCCCACTAACAGCTTCCCCAGGATCAGCCTTGCCCACAAAACTCCTCAGAATGAACTTCTCCTTTTTCTGGCCCACAGCTTCTTTGTGCTGCCCCAGCTCCAACGCTTTCCTTGTCCCCCTGAACCCACAGGGCCAAGTTATCTTTACAATTTTGCTCCTTCAGCATTTCCACTCCTCATCTTGGAATCTCACACTCTACCTTAAGATTTACCTTAATACCTCAATGGCACTCTTTCATGGTCTGTTGTCTAGTCTCAGAACCTGCATAAATTAATTTGAATATCTCAAGCTTAATTACATTTTTATTATTTTGACCCAATCAGATCATCATATTGCCAATCCTTAAACAATGGTTCCTTGCACTGCCCTCTTCTTCTTTCCCTCCCAACAATCTGCTTTATCTTGCTGGATGTCATCGAGTGCCACTTTTCACCTGGATTTCTGTTCCATACACTGTTGCGTGCCATGCTCATGCTGTGGCTCTGCAGAGCTAACTGTGAAACGTGTTTCATTGATGTTTTTAGGGCTTGGTCTTCTCCATCCTGTAATTCCACTTGCTTTTCCCCAGATATGTGTCTTATCATCCATCTCTCCACATTGCTGACCCAGAATGGCAGGGGACTGGCTGGCTGGGAAGAGGTGGAGATGCTGCTGACACCTGGGTCCTGGCAAGAAGAGAACAAGATGGCTTTTATTACCAGTCTCAGATCAGGGCTGCTCCAGAGGCAAGTCCCCACCTCATAGCATCTCCCGGCATGCTCCTCTGGGGCGGCCCTGCTATACCTGATGTGCATCTGTTGTGTGTGCCCAGCAGTTCGGGTTCTTGGATAGGCACAGATCTGCCATGGTTGGACTGTAGAAGGGAAAATGTTTATTAAATGTACTCTGGTCAGGAAAATTCAGTATGTTGAATTACCAGCCTAAGGGCCCAAACCAACCAGTTGCCCTCAAGTCGATTCTGATTCATGATGACCCCACGTGTGTCAGAGTGGAACTGTGTTCCACAGAGTTTTCAATACCTAATGTTTAGAAGTAGATTTCTAAGCTTTTCTTCTAAGGCACCACTGGGTGGACATGAACCACCAAACTTTCGGTTAGCAGCTGAGCACATTCACTGTTTGCACCACCTGAAGAAAGAGCCCAATGTACTTTCCCACCTGCACCCATGTGGGTTCCTCCACACACAGCCATTCCCTGGCATATAAAGAGCCAGTTGTGTGGATTTGTATCAGTGGCTACTTCTTTCAGATTTTTTTTTTTTTTCTTCTTCTTCTTTTCAGAGTCAGATTTCATGAATGTGGATTGCTGGGAAGAAGAGTAGTGTGAATTCTTAAAGAATATAAATTATAGAATTTCCAATCAAAAGTCAGTTTGTCATCTCCAAGTAACTAATTTGTGAATTCTCATGAAATGTTAGCAGTTGTTGTTAGTCATCAAATCTATTCTGACTCATGGTGACCCCATGTGTGCAGAGTGTACTTGCTCCACATGGTTTCCAAGGCTTTTGACTTTTTGGAAGTAGTTCCCCGGGCCTGTCTCCTCTTGGTGGATTCAAACTACCAACCTTTTGGCAGGTACTCAAGCATCTAACTGTTTGTGCCACCCAGAGTTTTGCTCAAATGTAGGGTCTGGCTTGTTGTTGTTGTTGTTATGTGCCGTCGAGTCGGCCCCGACTCATAGCGACCCCTCCTTGGGTTTCCGAGGCAGTATCACTACGGAAGTAGGATTGCCCAACCTTCCTTCCGAGGAGTGGCTGGTGGGTTTGAACCGCCAGCCCTCTGGTTAGCAGTCAAGTGCTTTAGCCACTATGCTACCAGAGCTCCTAGGGTCTGGCTAGTCATTTTTAAAAAATGTTATTGAGAATGTGCACAGTGGAACATACACCAATTCAACCATTTCTGCATGTGTGATTCAGTGACATTGTTCACATTCTTCAGGTTGTGCAACCGTTCTCACCCTCTGTCTCTGAGTTGTTCCTCCCCCTTTAACATAAACTCACTGCCCAATGAGGTTCCTATCTAATCCTTTGAGTTGTTTTTTGTCAATTTGATCCCATATAGTTCTAAAAAGAGCATCATTCCTTAATGTTGTTGTTGTTGTTATGTGCCGTCAAGTGGGACTTGACTCATAGCGACCCCTCCTTGGGTTTCCGAGGCTGTATCACTACGAAAGTAGATTGCCCCATCTTCCTTCCGAGGAGTGGCTGGTGGGTTTTAACCGCCAGCCTTCTGGTTAGCAGTCAAGTGCTTTAGGCACTACGCTACCAGAGCTCCTTCATTCCTTAATAGTTAAGCTAAACTATTGTTTCATTTTAAGAAGAAATCAGGGGATGTTTTGGTTTAAGGTTTAAAGCTTATCTCAGGACAGTGGTTTTGGAGATTCATCCAGCCTCCACGGCTCCAGAAAGTCTGGAATCCATGAGAATTTGAAATTCTGTTCTGCTCTTTTCCCCTTTTGATTATCCAATGATTTAATAAAAGTAATTTGTAATCAGACTATTTCTCTTCAGAATAGTACTGAGTCCCTGAAAGCAGTTTGTAATCGCCTTAAGTTTTCTGGCCTCTCTTATATGCTGTTGATTTACTTAGCCAAGCCCCTTCCTCAGAGACTGGAAAGGCTGTGCTGAGGCTGCCATAAGTACCACAATCACTCCTTGCCCACCTCCCCCACTTGGCCTCATGAATGAGCAATAAATCATCCCTGGTTGGTTTGGACCCAGGAACAGCACTTCTTAAGAGAGAAAATGCTGGTTCAGCAGGGCAGGCACTGGGGGAGGAGGCATGCATTGGGGAAGATGCAGAGGGCCCAGGTTACTCCTGGGAATTGTAGGTCAAAAATATTGGTGGGAGAAAATAAAAAAAGGGTAAAGGAAGAGAAGTAGCAGCAGGAAGCAAAACGAGTGTTACCCGTGACAACAAGCAGTAGTGGGAAGAACACTGGCGCCACAGCCGGCCACTGGCTCTCAGTGGCCAGCCCAATCCTTATCCCGTGTTTAGATGGCTCTTGCTGTTGGCAAGGAAAACGCTGGGGCTGGTTCTGGGGCCTCATAGGGAATCCTTGGTGCCTCCTGCTATACGTCCTTATTCTGGGTGTTCTCTTCCCTATAGCTGGACAGACAGGGGACCCTGCTTGTGGAATTTGAGGTCCCCCTTGTCACAGGCCCAGAGCAGCCAGCCCAGCAGCACAGTGTAGTCTTGGAAGAAGTCATTCAACTCTCACCACCCACGCCATATGCACTACGACCTGGGGACAAAGTGCTGGCACCCTGGGAGCCAGATGGACAGCAGTATGGCCCTGGCACTGTTCTCTTGGGCTTGGAGACCAGAGACCCTCAGAGAGGTAAGGGAAGTTGCTCTGATCTACTACTGCAAGTCCTCAAAAGGAGCCAGGCTGGTGATGAGGCCAGAGGAGAGAGCAGAGAATAACTCTATAGTTTAAGGGTCTTAGAAACACTGAAGAACAAAAAACTTTATCTCTTCACTTGCAGCTTAATCTTGGGGTGGCAACAGAAGTATAAACCATTATCTATCAGATACAGTATTTCTATCAGAGTAAAATGGCCTAACACAATTTTTTGTGTGTTGGCTAAACTATACTGTGGTGGGGTTATCCTGGGTCACAGCAGTACTCATGACCTATCCCCTACCAGGTGCTCCAGGGACCCAGCAGTCCTCTTCTCCAAAGCCGGTCAGCATTATGTAATTAAGAAAGGTTTCTACTTTGCTTCCCCACTCCAAGATGCATTTTAGTTTTGACATGAAAAAGTGGGTACCTACAGGTCATCTTGTAGTCTAGGAGACAGGCTCCCTCAACTCCACTGGGAAGGAATGGTAAAATATGGAGCAGGTGAGAGGAATGTTCCCACAGGCTCTCCAGGGAAAAGAGTGGGCGAGGAGCCAGGCAGAGCACCTGAGGCTTTGCCTTTGGGGATAGGATATAAGAACCCATATCCCTGCAATAAAAAGGAGCTCTGGTGGTGTAGTGGTTAAGGCATTTGGCTGCTAACCAAAAGTAAAGTGGTCTAAACCTACGGGCGGCTCTGCAGAAGAATGATGATACAGTCTGCTTCCATTAAGATTTACAGCCTTGGTCAAAGCCAGCTACCCAGAGGGACCGAGTAGTTGAACCTGCAGGCTTGGGACCACAGTCGCAGGGGACATCAAGCTCAATTGGCATAACATACTATACAAAACATTGTTCCACCTCTTACTTTGGTGAGTAGCGACTGGGATCTTAAAAGCTAGCAAGCTGCCATCTAGATGCAACGATGGGTCTTTCCTCATCCAGAGCAAAGAAGAATGAAGAAAACCAAAATTCATGGAAACAATTAGTCCTAGCAACTGGTACACCATCTGATCTGAAACCTATACAAATATGAGACCAGAAGAACTACATGGTGCCCAGCTACCACTGTCATCCACTTAGAAGGTGATCTATGTAGGAGATTCTGGATAGAGAGGGAGAACAATGTGGAACAAAACTCAAAATCATTTGGAGAAAAAAAAAGGTGGATACCAGGTTTGCTGGTCCGATAGAGTGTGGTGGAACCACTGAGACTATGGCCCCTAGCTGCCCTTCAGGTTTGGAATTGAACCCACACCTGTGGTTTCCAGCCAAACAAAAGACAGGCATGTGAGTTAAACATTTACCTCAAGTAGATACACGCCTTGGAGAGAAGAATCATGGGCGAAAGAAGGGCTGCTTATGCACAGGGAGACAGCTCAGGGGGCAGGAGTGTATGGAGGGATGGGCACTGGGAAGAGGTAACTATGGGGAGGAAGTAGAAGGGGAGCTGTTGCATTGTGGTAAACTGTGGTCAATGACATGAGACAAAGTATATGTGAACTGCTGTATGGAAAGTGAATTTGCTCTGTAAATCTTCATCCAAATCACAAAAAAAAAAAAAAAAAAAAAGATTTACAGCCTTGGGAACCTTGTGGAGGTCACTATGAGTTGGAATTGATTCGATGGCAGTGTGTTTGGTTTTTTGGTTTATCCTCACAATAAAGAAGTACTAATTATAACAAGGCTGTTGCCCTTTTTTGTTCTGTAGCATCAAAGGATGAAGAAATCACTGTTCACTTCTGGAATGGCAAGATAGCTCAAGTGCCTCTAGGTGGGGTCAGGTGGGTGCCCCCAGCTGTCTGGAAGGCATCTATGGAGAGGCTACACAAGCCTCTCACCAGGGAGCACTGCAGCCCCCTCCTCTGGGCCCCTTGCTGTTCTCTGCTGGGGCCAGTCACTGGATGTGTCACTTATGAGCTTCCTCTGGCCACTCCGTTCCTTTGCCCTCCCTGCCATCCTTATACTTGCTGCCAGCTGCTGTACCAGGGCTGCCTGTGCTGCTGTCCTTCAGCTGGACTCACCTGGTGGCCTTTAACCTGGACTTCAGAGGTCACAGCCAGAGAACTTCCAGAGCCAGAGCTGAAGCCCACATCACAGCTTTTGTCCTTAGAGGGTCCTAAAGAGGAGAAGGTAGCAGTGCACGCACCCATGGATGTTTCTCCCTCCTCCTCCTCTTCTGAAGACGAGGATTTGGACAATAATTTAGAGATGGGCCTTCTTCAAAGACTGATGGTGAACAGCACAGTCAACGCTGACCCCATCCTTCTTGAGACGTTGCCATGCCAGAGTGGCTTCTGCCAGCCAGAATGGAGGTATTGGAGGAGAAAAGGCCCTGAGCCACAACCTAGGAAGCCAGGTAAACTGGAGCACAGGGGTCCCTGCTAAGACACAGGCTGAAGCCCACTGCTCTCTTCCCTTCCTTGAGTCTCTCAAGAATCTGATGCAGGTTTCCACTACATTGGGAAGTAACACGTTGGAGTGTGGTAATGTTGAAAGGGAGGCTGTGGTGAGGGAAATGCCTGGTTTCCATTTAAGCAAGAAAGGCCAGTAAGAAAGAATGGGCTGATCTTTGTGCTAAGGTTTGCACATCTGTCTTAACATTTGTCTTTTCTTTCTACACTGGTCTTTACTGACAAGGCACTTCCATCATCTATTTTTGTCCCTCTCAGCCCTTTTTTTTCTTGGAGGCCTTGATTTTTCTCTAGCTGAATTGTCAAAATGCCTCCAGATATTGGTTAGGGTAGTCAGCATCTGAGAAGCACAGAAACCTGTGGGTAAACATTGGCTATCAGGCCCCTCCTCCTAGATGAGCCCCTTTGTTAGAATGGGAAAGACGAAGGCACTACATTATACTGCTGGCTCTTCCCAACTAGGAGGGAAGCAGTGTTTAAATTGTTGGCAGTCCCTATATTTCTTTACATCCAAGAACTGTGTGACTTCATGGAGGTTTGAGCAGCAGTGTATCATTGATTTGCCTCGAATCTACCCTATCTAAATTTCCAAGGGGACCCAGAAAGAGCAGAAGCTTGTCAGCAGGCAGAGCTCTGTGCAGAGGTAGTCTGGATAGGCCTGGCCCTAGACTAGATCTCTTGGGGCCCTGGGATGACTGGCTTAATGTTCATTGGATAGGATGCTTGGGCCATGGATACTGTGAGGGTTAAAGAATACCACCTGCTAAGGGCTTAAGGACCCCTAGACACTGTGGGTCCCTATTTGAAGCTGCCTTATTTCCAGGACAGCTGCTTACCAGAAAGAACCTCTCAGTCCATGAGGATTTCAATCCTGCCTCAGGGGTAAGGACTTCATTAGTCTTCAGTTATGGAAAATTTGAGAAATTGTTTCTACAATGGGAAGCTTTCTTGAATCTTTTGGACCCCTAGACTTTAAAATAGGTGGGGATGTATTGATATAAGTCTACTGTTCTATTTTTTTGCAAAGTGAACCCCTTTATTTATTTTTAGGCTTTTTCTCTGTAGAGGATAAGGTATTTATTATTTAAAAAAATTTTGTGTTGTTGTTGAGAATATACACAGCAGAACATACACCACTTCCACAATTTCTACATATACAATTCAGTGATGTTGATTGTATTCAGGTTGTGCAACCATTCTCACCCTCCTTTTCTGAGTTGTTCTTCCCCGATTAACATAAATTCACTGCCCCCTAAGGTTCTTATCTAATCTTTGGAGTTGCTGTTGTCACTTTAATCCCATACAGAAAGATCTTAAAAGAGCATAATACTTAAGGCAGGTATTTTTTTTTTTACTAGTTAAGCTAAACTATTGTTTGGCTTTAAGAAGACTTTAGGGGATATTTTTGGTTTAAGGTTTAAATATTATCTCAGGGAAATAGTTTCAGGGGTTCATCCAAGCCTCTGTGGCTTCAGAACTGCTATAGTATTGTATAGAAGGGTTCCAGGGGTTCTGTGGCTTTCAGTGCGTGAGATCTTTCCCCCGCCTCTGACAGGGGAACAGCCAGAAGGCCAAGAGTCCAGCTATGACCAGCTGAATGCTTTCTCCCCTCTCCAAGAGGACATTTTGTACTGACAATATAAAGGGATCCTGGATTTCTGTGAAATGGGTCATTCTGATATCACAGTGGGAGGCCTTGGCAGAAATAATTGGGAAACAGCTGTTTCTGTGACATCTGCCCTCCCAACAAGTGAGGACATAAATGGTGCCAAAATCTAATTTTGATGTTAACTTCTCCATAGCTTCCCCTGCCTTCTGCTTCAGCAGAGCCTGGAGAAAGTAAAGCTCTGTTTACCCAAAGGAGAGGAATTTGTGGGCAATAATTGAGACATCAATAAGCCTAGTATCAGGGACAGGAATTACAGTGGGGTCACCTAAGAGGCCATGGTGGTCAGGCCTGCCCCAAATACCCTATCTTCCCAGTGGCTCCCAAGCCTATATTCCCACTGCTGTGGCTTGCTCCATGTCAATCCTCTAGACTGGTTCCAGCCAATTAAATGTCCCCAAAGTTTGATCAGTCCTTAATATACACTGCTCTTATCCTCATTGCCCAAAGCCACTTACACCTACATTTAGGTCTCTCTCCCCATCCACATTTAAGCAGACTCAATTCATTTCTGTTTCTCCCAAAAATGAATTCTAAAGCAAGTTAACTGATTACAACAAAGAGAAATATAGTACATGTTATCTTCAGGTACTTTGTCTGGCTTTCTTTGAGATACTTATTTGTTATGCTTCAGGCAAAGGTTAATTCCTGGGGCTGAACCATGAGTTTCAAGGGCCCTGCCCTCTGCCAGGTCCCAGTCCTGTACCCATAAATGTGGAGAACATGCTTGAGATGAGGTGTGCAGAAAGGGACCATCTTCAGTCCTAGTCAGATGGAGTGAGTACTGCATGCAAGAACTAGGGCAGATGAAGGGCATAAAATCATGTGTCAGCCAGGGCTAGAAGCAATGGCTAACACCCTAGCTTTTCTTTCTGCTTCTCCAGATTTGTTTCCTTTTAAGGAAATGTGCTGCTTAACTTCCCTGAAAAATGCTTGCCATCAAGTACTGGTGCTTGAGTTAGGAGCTCTACCTCTTAAGGATCTATGTTGTATAGCCGCCTGCTCGCTGTCCCCACGTCTTGTAACTTTCAGTTATAGGCAGTGAGAGGTTACTGTTTGATCCTAACAAACCTGGGAGACCAGAGTTTTGTTTGCTGGCAGTCATGTTGCTCCCCTTCCTCCTTCGCTTATGAGTAAAACAAGATTCAAGCTGTCATTTTAAAAGTCAGGGAGGGGATGAAGTTCTTTAAAAGTATTCTTTCCCTTTTAGATTGCTCTGTTCCTGGTGGCGTAGTGCCTAAAGCATTTGACTGCTAACCAGAAGGCTGGCAGTTCAAACCCATTGGCCAAGCCACTCCTCGGAAGGTTGGGCAATCTTCTTCCATAGTGATACTGCCTCGGAACCCAAGGAGGGGTTCCTCTGAGTCGAAATCGACTCGACTGCATTGAGTTTGGTTTTGGTTTTTGGTATTCTTTAGGAAGTCTCATCTCATTATTTTTGTTTTCCTTCATTCAACTTCTTAGACCCTGTCTTCCCATTAGTTTCCTCTTTGTGATCAGTGTGATTTATAAACTCCTTTGACTAGTAGCATCGGTTAGCTTTTCCTACTGGCTGTTTGGAAAATGAATCTGAAAATGACTGCCATCCAATTCCAAATCTGGGTATCAAACAATAACCTTTCCAAATAGCATAGTAGCCAGACACGATTAACAAACTTATTTCCTCTTTAAAAGAATAGTCTCAGGAGTTTACAGATACTTAAGAGATGCAGAGATCAATACAGTTCTACTTATGACATCAAGACTAACTCCATCAAAATGGTGGTATATTCAGCATAACGAATTGACTTTTGGGTTTAGGAACAAGGCATTGCAATATACCTGGAAAAAAGAGAACACCAACTGAGAACACAGACTGTACTTGCGGGAAAGACTAAGGAGCTGGGCCTGGAAGAAACCTACATGAGACCACCACAGACCCTGCCAGAAACCAAACATGAAAACTGAGTTGGGGTACTGAGACACATCCACAGTGATAAGAATTTCCTTTAGACTAAAAGCCCCAAGGACCAAGGTAAAGAAGACTGAGAAGGGACTTAAGGATTCCTTTCACTATTCTCTGACCTTGTAAGAGTGATAAAACCCATGGCCCCTCTTCCCAGTAAAGGTGACATACCACCAAGTTTGCACATAATTTCAGAAAGCTTACAGAACTCCCGAAGTTCATCACAGACTTCTTGGGGAATGCAAGGATCCCTGTTTAAATGACCTTCTACCTCTATGGTTAGGGGCATGGTTTTGTTTCACTAGGGTCTCTGTCTATGTATACCTCACTGGATATACAGTTCTACTTAAAACTTCATTTTCATCACACACAATACTAGCATTTTTCCTCATGAAAGATATGTTATATTCAAGATGAGATAAATTAACAGGCAACTAAACTTGGAGATACAAAAGTACTGCTGATGTGCTAGCTTAAAAAAGTCACAACGTATGACTCTTTTCACATCAGTGACTTTTGATCCTTAAAAATCCAATCAGCATAAGACTCTCAGGATTTCTTTTCTCTTATAGGAAGCTAAACAATAGTGATGCTAAATACTTGAGGAAGAGTTACAAAAAGTGACTAGAAAGGCCTTCTTCAATGGTTGGGAGGCAGAGTACAGGCCACAATTAATAGTCAAGTAAGCAGCAGCTTCACCCCATTAAGACTTCTTGGCAAATGAGTGGCAGAAAGGCACCTCTGTCAATAGGGGCACAGGAGTGTGGCAGCCCTGCCCAGGGCTCCCTGCCACAGGCCTGGTGAGATCTGCCAGAGGATGTCTTCTCTACAGAAGCTACAGGATGTGGTCTCCATGCTTTGTGTCCACAGCCTCTCTGCCTTCATTTCATAAAGCCTACAGTTGCCCATGAGCTACTTTTTATTTCACCTCTTAATATCAATAAAATTGTTTCTCTTCATTTCCAAATCTCTCCCTTTATTATCATCATTAACTTCTGCTTAGGAAGCAAGCATTAAAAACTACACAGATAGCATCATTACATTATTACTTTTAGGCAAAAGGGGGTGGGGGGTCTTCTACATGCTCAAGTTAAAACTGGAAGAGACAGACTCCAGAGTTCCTTAGAAAGCTGAACCTCTATAGTCAGCACTAAAAGCAGAATTCATATGTGAGTACTAAGAGAATCACACAGTGGTTTCATTCTCCTGCTTACTAAAAAGAGGTGATGCGAGGCTCAGGTGATGGTCAGCATCATATGGGGAAGACCAAGTCCACACTCTGTCCTGAATCAACTGCTACCACATGAGTCTTCTTGGTTAAGTCATTCGAACCCACAGTGACAGAGTAGGTCCCTGGATACACTTCTATGTAGAGGTCCTTAGAGATGCTCTCAGCCTGAAACAAAAAGATATTAGCAGTTCAGAGATTTCATATCCCAATCTTATCATTGTGCAACAGAGGTGCAATGGAATGAAGTATTAACAAGAGACAGAGATCCTGCTTTCAAGGCTCAGCTTGGCCATATAAGTGCAGTCATCTAGGTGAGTTTCAGCCTCTCATGCTTGTTTCTTTATTTCTAAAACTAACATGATCTATCTCACAAGTAAACATGTAGATAGAAGCACTTTGTAAATGTTAAAAGTGTTATAGCAATATGGAGGATTGTAAGAAGAACGCTAGTTAAAGCAGAAAGATAAGAATGAAGCAGAGGGAAAGGGTAATGACTTTTGTTTTGGGGATCAAAAGTGGACGGTGTTAACACAAATTAGCAGTAATGCAAGGTACCTTGGAATAGTGAGAACCATTCTTTTTAATTGTGCTTTGCTAAATTTATTATCAGGAGGATGAAACATTTCAACTAAAGCTGAGAATACTATGTGTAGATTCCATTTTGTCACTGAAGCAGGAAATTAGCTGTCTGGCAAAAGCCCTTCCTTGGAGGATTGGTTCTCCTATCATGCAAAACATTGGAAACTGAAATTAATGGAAAAATTTCTGTTGAGAATTGTAGTGAGCACAAACCATCTTCCATGAATAGACTTTACATGTGGCTAGGAGGTGGGTCATAGCAGGTGTGGTGGCAAAACATAGGTCTTAGTTCAAATGGCAAAAGGATAAAGTCACAAATTAGAAAAAAGTGTATAATTAAGCACCAAAGTGACAGCTAGAATCCCACTACATGCATAGTTAATACTAGGAAGGATCCAGAGGCAGAAGCTGTCATTTTTACCACCAGACCCAAAGGAATAAAACCAAATTACTAACTAGCAAATTCCACTATGAGAAATAAATGATAATATTTATACTTTATGAAACTCCCCCACACACACACCTTGAAGATAGATCTGAAGTCAATATTTTCCAAAGTTGCTTTATGTTATATCCTTTCCTGCCCAGTTACTACAAAACTGGTGTCTATTTTCATTTAATTCATGGGAATGTACATGACAATGCTACAACAGGTCACTGGTTATCAACTGTGTAAATAAACAAAAGTAGATTTCAGAAAGTATGGCTGTACTGGAAATGCAGAAAGCCAAGGATGCTTCATTTGTTTGCATAAAAGGAAACACTGGGGGCAGGCTGGCATCTGTGACCCCAACAATGCGGAGCATCAGAAGATCCGCAATCTCAGCCAAACAACTCGTCCTTGTGGGAGGCATCTCAGCCTAACAACTTGTATTTGTATTAGAAACAGAATATTCTTAGTAGCTACTATTCTACTGTATTCTAAATCCTTGCTAGCAGTAAACTGTATCTTTATATACAAACAAAAATAAAGCAAATTATTGTAGCAATACACTGAAGTTCCCTTCCTGCGAATTCTAGCCCTTCAAAGTCCCAAAAGATTCCACTGATTCATGAACAAATGAGTACTCTACCCTAAAAATAAAAAAAACCTCACCAATGTTTTACCTTTTTCTTAAAAAAAATGTTAAGTGATAAATCTTCCATTTCAACCATTTTTACATGTCCAGTGACTTTACATTTGCCACGTTGTACAACCATCACCACTATCTACTTCCAAATTTTTTCATCACTTAACAGAAATTCAATACCCCTCAAGCAACAACTCCCCATCAATATACGTTTTCATAGAGAAACATTTGTGGAAAATGGGAGCAAATCCCTTCAAATGTTTTGGAACCTGATCTGACCAGATGTGTATGTTTCAGAATTTTAGCAATGATTTCCACTTTATAAGCAGAAGGGTCAGGCCCCCCCTGCTGTGTGAACAGATGGTGGAATTCTAGCAAGCCCCAGTGCTCGCCCAGCTGAGCTGTAGGAACTGAGATGTGAATACTTCACATTCTTTCCAACCACAACTATGAGTTCAGACACAAACAGTATTCTGGAAGCTTCAAGTGAAGGAAGGATACCAAGGAAACAATTTTACACTGACCTAAAACGCTGTGCACCCTTCCCCAAGTGTAAGAACATCCCAACTTAAAAATACTACAGACTGTGTAAATAGAGAGGCCTGTAATAAACCAGGCCAACTGGCTAATGGAATTGCAATAGTGGTGAAGCCCAGTACACTAGACATTCTGTACTCACAGGCTGGGATGCCTCTAGGTCACACTGTGAAGTTTGATAGATGCCTTCAAGACCAAGGGATGTGTCTTGACTCTGAGGAGACAAGTAGAAACACTGATTAATGCTCAAGCTTTGACTTCTGGATTGTAAAGAGATATTTGCTCTTACATCATTACTGTTGTGTGTCCTTGAGTCGGTTCCAACTCATAATGACCCTATAGGACAGAGAAGATCTGCCCCATAGGGTTTCCAAGGTTGTAATCTTTATAGAAGCAGACTGTCACATCTTTCTCCCCAAAAGTGGCTAGTGGTTTTGAACTACTGACCTTCTGGTCAGCAGCTGAGAGCTTAACTACTGCACTACCAGGGCTCCTTCCATATTACTAAACCAAAACCGAACCTGCTGCCTTTGAGTTGATTCCAACGTACAGTGACCTTACAGGACAGAATAGACCTGCCCCATGGTGTTTCCAAGGCTGTAAATCTTTATGGAAACAGACTGCCTCACCTTTCTCCTACAGAGAGGCTGGTGGGTACAGATTGCTGACCTTTTGGTTAGCAACCTAATCCTTTAACCACAGCACCATCAGAGTTCCTTCCTACATTATAAGGTGGCGTAGTGCCTAAGGCATTTGATTGCTAACCAGAAGGCTGGTGGTTCAAACCCACCAGCCACTCCTCGGAAGGAAGATTGGGCAATCTACATCTATAGAGATACCTCCTCGAAAACCCAAGAAGGGGTGCCTATCAACTGAATCAACTGGACAGCAGTGGTTTTTTTTTTTTTTTGGTAACGATAAGATTTTTCTAAGTTGTCACTTAAGTTACTAAGGTTCTTTTTGGTGACTTCTATGAGGTATTTTGGTAATGTTTGCTATGATTACTCTGGGCTTTGGAATCAGACAGATCTGGGTTTGAATCCTACCTCTGCTGTTTACTGAGAGGGACAGATTAACTTCTCCGAGCCCTGGAGCTTGCAGCATGAATTCAGCCCTCAGTTACATGCCTGTGCACGTTCTTCCATCCTTTTCCTAAATCCCTCCATTCTAACATCCCAACATGCCCACATGCCAGAGAAGTCAAGAATCCAACTTACAGATTAGACTCTGGGCCTAAATTTGCAGTCTTGGAGTACAACTGAGGGAGTTTAAAACAACGCCTCTCCTCAAAAACACAAAAAACTAATCAAGCAGTCTAGTCGAATTTTCCTGTTCAATCAGCTCAACAAGTAGACACTTTGACTTTCCCCAGGAAGACATGCAGTAAAATAAAGATACATTTTGTAGTGAGAGGCTTGTCATTTTTATTATCCTTAGGAAAAGTACTCTGTTGAAACAGAGACCTTCTCCTTGCATTTCCTTTTCAAAAGTTATCAAAGACATGATGGGAGCCCTGTGATGCAGTGGTGACATGGTCAGCTGCAAACTGAAGTCAATGGTTTGAACCCATGAGCAGCCCTGTGGGAGAAAGATGTGGTGATCTGCTTCCTTAATGATTACAGCCTTGGTAACCCTACTGGGCAGTTCTACTCTGTTCCATAGGGTTGCTGTGAGTCAAAGTTGACTTGATGGCACACAACAACACAAACATGACAATTATCACCTACTTTATAGTAAAACAGGAGCTCTGGTGAAGGCATTTGGCTGTTAACCAAAACGTCAGCAGTTCAAACCTACCAGTTATTCTGCAAGAGACTGATGAAAACAGTCTGCTTCTGTGAAGATTTACAGCCTTGGAAACTCTATGGGGGCAGTTCTACTCTGTCCTATAGGATCACTATGAGTCAAAACTGACTCAATGGCAGTAGGTTTGGGTTCTTTTGTTGTTGTTTGATAGGAACATATGAGATTATGAAAAATCTCTTTCCAATCCCCAGCTACGGAAGAATATAATTAAAGACTGCCCAAAATTCCATGGCCTAAGATGGCAGGGTGAACTGAAGACCTTACAGTGGCCTCAATCTTAGTTTTGGACAAACTCCTATTTCACGTTCATTGCTGTGAATTCTTAGTGTTGATTCATTTCCGTTAAGCACTGTAACACTGAGTCATACAGACATAAATACAGTCCAGCAAGAACTCCCTAATATAGGTCCTCACAGCTTTTCTTTTCAAACTGTTGTGGAAAGTATACACAACAAAAATAACCCAATTCAACATGTACAATTCAGTGACTGATCACTTTCTTCAAGTTGTGCAAAACTAAAAAAAACAAAACCCAAACTCATTGCTGTTGAGTCGATTTGACTCACAGCGACCCCCTCCTTGGGTTTCTGAGGTGGTATCTCCATGGAAGTAGATTGCCCAGTCTTCCTTCTGAGGAGTGGCTGGTGGGTTTGAACTGCCAGCCATCTGGTTAGCACTCAAATGTCTTAGGTACTACACCACTGTTGTTGTTATGTGCCATCGAGTCTGACCTGACTCATAGCAATCTGTCCTTCGGTTTCCAAGGCAGTATCACTACAGAAGTAGATTGCCCAACCTTCCACTAGAGCTCTTCAAGTTGTGAAACCATTGTCATTCTCCTTTTCTGAATTGTTGTCCCCCACTGACATGAACTCACTGCCCCCTAAGTTTCCTATCTGACCTTTTGAATTACTGTTGTCAATTTGATCCCATTTGGATAATTCTTCCAAGGAGTACAATGTTCAAGGCAAGCATTCTTTACCAAATAAGCTAACTTATCATTTGGTTTAAAGAAGACTTCAGAGGTTATTTTCAGTTTAAGTTTAAAGATTATCTCAAGGCAGCAGTTCCAGGGTCTTACATCTTAGGACTCTGAGGGCACAGTGCAGGACAGCTGAGAATACATACTTGACCATTCCTCATGTCCGAGCACCACGACCGCTCCGACTTCCCTCTGTGGTAACGATAGACATGGGTTGCCCCTCCTTCCTCTGGCACAGATGAATAATATTTCTAGAGAAGTAAAGTGAAAGATGTTGGGTAACCAAGAAGTCTAGCCAAATTTAAAACAAAACAAACAAAAAAACCCAAAACCTTCTGATCTTGTGCAAACTGTGGTTAAGGAAGGAGGCAATAGAGCAAAGGTAAGTTGCCCTCTTGATAGACATCTGGTCATATAACAAACTCCAGGCTACGTAAAGAAGAAAACAGAATTGGGCATTACTTTGCTGCCATCTGCTGCCTTTGTAGAGCATGAACTCTGGCCAATGAAAGCTGGGCAGGACCATGCTCTCTGCCAGGTTAAATAATTTTCATATCTTTACCCCAATATCAAATACAAATGCCCTTGCATCTCCTATCATGACAAATTCTGATGAACCGCTCCATGTTTACTGTCTGTCTCAGACAAGAACAAGGGGGAAGAGAAGGGTGCACCTTCTTGAAATTTAGAAATACAGCAGTAAATGTGACAAAAACCCAGTAACCACACAGCCCTTCTGCTACTGTGAGGGAAGTGGAGAGAGGGTTCCAGTTTAAGAAAGATAATTCAAAGGACCAGAAAATAGTTACATTTTTCTTGTCTACTTCCTTTCTCCCCTCTTGAAGTTAACCTTGGACTTGCCCTTGATTATGACTAATGAGGACATGACAAACCTACTTGAACATGTTGTTGTTGTTATGTGCCGTCGAGTTGGACCTGACTCATAGCGACCCCTCCTTGGGTTTCCGAGGCAGTATCACTACAGAAGTAGATTGCCCAACCTTCCTTCCGAGGAGTGGCTATTGGGTTTGAGCCGCCAGCCTTCTGGTTAACAGTCAAGTGCCTTAGGCACTATGCTACCAGAGCTCCTACTTGAACATGTTGTTGTTGTTGTTGTTGTTATGTGCCGTCGAGTCGGCCCCGACTCATAGCGACCCCTCCTTGGGTTTCCGAGGCAGTATCACTACGGAAGTAGGATTGCCCAACCTTCCTTCCGAGGAGTGGCTGGTGGGTTTGAACCGCCAGCCTTCTGGTTAGCAGTCAAGTGCTTTAGCCACTATGCTACCAGAGCTCCTAGTACAGGGATAATGTCTAAGGCATGTGACCAGAAGAATAAGAAGCTAAGGGAAGCACTTCAAGACATGGATCTAATTTTGTATTTTAGGTGCTGCTTCAAAGTTGTGAAGGCAAAGATATAAGACTGTTCCCAATTTTCTCTCTAAAAAGCCAAGGGATTCTGAGGCTCCATTCCATAATGGAGACTTGAAGTGAAGCATGAACTGAAAACCAAAATGAGGAACACCAATTTGCTAAACCTCAAACCAAAGACAAATATTATTTCTTTTACTGAGCCATGAACCAAAGTGTTATTTTAAGTTAATCACTTTACAGTAGAGCTGGAGTTACAGATTTTTCTAAAACCACTTAACAGAAGGAATAAGAACATTAAAATAAAATAAAATAAAATTCTCCAAACCCTATCTCATTGGCTAGAATCCTGTTTTGGGGGTCACAGGAATTTTATAAAAGATATAGGAAGATAAGAGATTTTTTTTTTTGGAGGATCTTAATATATGAAACTGAACAGCAGGACAGAAATAAGGTATACTCCTCTTTCTCTCCTATCCACCACCATCCTTACAGTCAACCACATAAGAATAAGAATCAGAAAATGTTAAGGCTAAGAAACCAGCCAGCTGTAATTTCTAGAAGATACGGGGTACCTTCGGTGCAGGTGATTTCCTTGTATGTTGTCTAGCCTACCTTCAACATTCCTCCAAAGTCCTTAAAGACAACTATGTGTATGGTCTTGAAAAACTTTGAGAGGAAGAGGGACTTTAAAACCCTTGTTCACCCATTTCAATGAATGTTACACAAATCTCATCTATATCCCTTAAACTCAGCTTAAGACAATTTTCTGGTGTTCATTTCTCAGTGGAAACCAAAGAAACAGACTGTTAAGGCTAAAAGGGACTTTAGAAATCTTCATTTCTAGGTTGGGAAGGTAAGGGTGAGTGAGACTAAGGCCTAAGGCACTCTATACCTATACTCTAGAATATAGGTATAATTCCTGGGATACTTACTGGTCTTTCCATTAACTCACATGCCCCCTGCCCTGCCCCAAGGATGCTGTACCTGCTTCATATAATGATCACTTCTGTCACCAATAACTGATATGGGCCTACAGGGACATAATTAAAAATGACTTTATCAGGAACATTAGACATCAGCGATTAAGATCTATTGTGGGGATTTTGTGTTAGTTGTTGTCTGTTTCAGTACACTCTGAAAACAGAGACTGAATTCCAGTTAGAGTGATCCTCAAAGTTTTTTTTTTAAACTTTACTTGAGTTCAAAATCAAACACACACACACACACACACTGTACTAATATTTGCTCTTGATTTCTTTTGGAATTCAGAAAATAAGCATCAGTGAGGGCAGAGGCCTTTTGTGGCTTGTTCACTGATGTATCCTCAACAATACCTACAATTAGGCATTAAATAAATACTTGTTGAATGCATTCTAGCTTCGATTTGTCATCTAGTTTACAGCCTTATCTGATACAATTGTTGCTCAGGGCAGGACAAAGTCTTCAGGTTGTCTCTAAATTCCAGAAAGATTCACATTATGATCCTTCAATTGCAGGGTCAGCCAGCTTACAGCAACTTACCCCACACTGACTTGAAGCATAGTCCATGAATTCAGCCATTGTTCTGAAGGAAGCACTGAGGGTTGGGTATCTTTCTTCTCTCTGTTTGAATAAACAGCAAGTTGCAAGTAAGATAAGGGATGCCCTATGCAGAATGAAGCCATTTTGGCCTCTTTTTTACTTTTGGAAAGACATCTACAAGCTGAAGTCGGAAAGTAGGATATTACTGAGAAAGAATTCCAACTATAAAAGGAACACATAGATAGCACTTTATCCAAGACCTAAACGGTATTTTTACTAGCTTTACTCTAAGATAACAGGGAACAATTAAAGGTGGGAAAAAAAGGTTAGCCAGGCCCAAGCACTACTGGTATCCTACAGCTACCTAATAAGAATCTGTGAAGTGTGAAGAGCTTCAATACATCTATTCAATATATCTAGGCATCCAAGGCCTGCCTGGTGCTTTCCAGTCTCTACCAAGGAAAGGATTCCTCTGGTGCTTCTGTAATGCCACGCCCCTGGTCTCCAACAGGCCTGTGCTTAATGAATGAATAAGCTGGTTCCCTGCACAGGTACCTCTCCTGGGAGAAGGCGATGGGGGTCTGTTGCTAGACGTCTTTCTTGGTTGGACCCCTCTGGGGCAAAAAACCCCACGCTGCCTTTGGGGAGCTCCAGTGAATGCCAGTTCACCGCTCTCCTCTTGGCCCGCTCCAGCACTTCTTGACCCAGCCTAGCCGAACGCTGCAGCCTATGTCGGTCCACCCCGTTCAGCGCCGCGGCCGCCAAACAGTTCTCCATTTCTCCCTGGACAAGTATACACACATACACACGAGTGTTCAGTGGTACTACGGCCGCCCAGATCTGGCCCAGTGTCTGTGCCTGCTTCCGCCCTCCCACTACAGGCGAC